CTTTGAACATTTGTTTCTATTAGTTTTACTGCTCCTTAAAGATAGCGCTAGGGAAACTAATTGCATTTTTATGCGGATGATATTTGTTCCAGACGTAGTTAATCGATAGAAATCGACATCATCGTCATTAATCGATTTAATCCACAGATTAATATCGATTGATATCGGAAATCGATAGAAATCGAAGTCATAGATAAAATTATTTATCAATTTATCAATTTATCGATTAACAAAGTTGGCAACAATCGATAGGAATCGATAGTAATCGATAATAATCGATAAATTATATTTTAACCCACGGACGTACAAGTGGAGGGGGTGGCATCCACCACCCCCTAAGGTTTTTCTGCGTTTTCTCCCAGAGGATAGAACAGCAGCACCTGATGTTTTTAGTAGCTGTTTGCTCATCCCTCGCGCGCACTTTGAGTCAAGTTCAGTGATGGTCAGTTTTTATAGTTACGAGATATGACGTCATAAGAAGGAGGTGGTCAAGCCATTTTTGACAGGTGAAAGTACATGTTTTTCAACTTTTTTCAACGATAAAAGTTAGTCATGTGGCTAAAATCATGCAAAGTACTTATTTATGTGTTACTTTTCATCCCAAGCACAAAAAAATCGCCATTTCTCACGGTTTTAACATGAATTCTAATTCTTGGAAAAATCCAAGATGGCGACCATTGTTGGTGACGTCACAGGCCAACCAGCAGCGCCACTACCCATAAAATATACCTCATCTTGTAGAGAAGATCAAAGGCTTTCCACTGAAGGTAAAATCGTTTCGAAATACTGCAAAATATCAAAAACTCTGAGGGGGTCCAACCACCCTCCCTTGTAACACGGTGGGGGTATGAATTTGTATGTACGTCCGAGGGTTAATAGGAGTCACAACTTTTTTTATCGATTTCTATCGATTGATATCAGAAATCGATATTCATCGATGATTGTTATCGCTGACTATCGATTATTACCGATTTTCGGTTTATCGATTTACTACGTCTGAATTTGTCCCAAATTTCTACATATCCTTATATATTCCGCAATCGGCGATCTCTCGATCGGACCGTGTTCGAAAATTGTGTTTTTAACATGTTTTAGCCAGAGCGAGAAGTTGTGAAGTTTTATTCAGTCAGTCACGTCGGCAATCGTGTGGTTAAAATGCTGGAATTGCAAGTACATAAGTCACCTGCCACAGATCGGACTTAATCTGTTTCCGTTGCCGTCGCCCCCTTTAAGCTTGTCATTTAAAAATAATTTTCCGCTAAATAATCGGTGCTATGTCTGCATCTTTGAAACAATAACATCTGAATAGAATTCAACGACAACACAGATCTATAACATTTTAAAAACATGAGAATCAGAACTGACGAATGAAATGAATTTTTAATTTGAAGAAATATCCAGTGACAATCACATATTGCAAAGCTGTTGGATTTGATTGTTGAGCGCACCGAATGAGCGGCGAATCCACGAGCAAAATGAGGAGAAAACAGGACCGCCGGCTTCGCAAGCTAAGCTTCAATTCACATTACAACTCACTTCACGCTGAAAATGAGTAGTTCTTGCCACAGCTTCTAAAAAAACATCAGTACAAATTGCCCTCATCCCATGTTCTCCAAGTGTGCTTTGACATCGTGGGTGTGGGTTTGCACCCGGGCTTGTCCGTCCTGTTTGCCAATAAAAAGGCTGCAGGATATGTTTGCTTTCCATCGCTTGGCCATGACAACGGTTCTGAAAAAATAATAAAAAGAAGAAATAAAACAACAGAAAATGAAACAAAAGAACGGTGGAACTCGTTCATCCCAAGCTATAAGGTCCCTAAGGCCTTTTGTACATAATGCTAGCATTTTTTCGAGCACCATAATGACGCGAAAGCGTTAAGCAATCTCGAGCGTTTTAGTAGGATTTTCCCGGAAAGTTATGAAGAAAGAAAAGCCGTGAAAGAAGGAGAAAATGAACACTCAAAATCGAAAAAAAAAACAATCAAAACAAACAAACAATATCAACAACAACAAAATTGAAAGCGAAATAAATTAAATGCGATCCTTATAATACTGCCGTTTAGAATATTATCAAGATAACAGCATTTTTGCAGTGTGAATTTATGCACACTGCATTGGAAAACGATGCCATAGTAAATCGATTAGTTAACACAGCTTTTCAGCGCGTAGCGAGACAAAATTCTTTCAGAGACACTATCAGAAAACAATGATGTTAGCAGTCTAAGCGTTATAGTTTTTGTGAGGTAGATGTAGATATATCAAGAATAAAAATATATTTAACATCTGTATCGAGACAAAAGAGGATTAAGACCATAAACATAACTCATTACAAAGCATAATACCTTCTGACAGACATTCATCCACTTCCTGACTTTTGCTTTGTGCCAACACGAGCCAGTCTTGAATCTGCGTGAATATTGGGATTATTGCGTCAATAAAAGTATGTGTTAGACGATAACGGTACTTACACAACACCGTGCACTAACAAAGTCAGATGTGAGTTGTATCAAGTACGTAGCAGAGAGCAAACCTCGACAAATTAGTTACCTCGGTCGATTCAGTCATCTTTTTTTTACCAGCCAGTATGAGAAACGTTCAGCTTCGATTACATCCAACCCAGCCCACTGATACTGATCTTAATAAAGCACCTGCGTCACGATATTGCTCATGTGCAGCCGTCATTGAGATCAGGAGTTTTTTGGCCAATAGGAAGCAGAAGATTTGACACATTGCGCCCGTGGTTTCACCTCTTAGACCGTTGTATTAACATGATCCCAATTTAATGAATTTTCTACATATTTTTGACGATAGAGAAATGATGCAATTTTGTGTTGTCTTTATTAAGGCCACGATGGTGATTTTGTGCCTGGGTTTGGTGGAAAATGGAACCGGGGGGTGGGAGGGTACGCAGAAATTTTTTTTCGTACTGGCTTTCCTTGGCGACCATAGCACAGAGTGTCCTCTTATGTCCACGTCAGGTGCCCATTAAGTGTCTGGTACTTTGAGACACTCTTAAAAACCAGTTTTTTCGGATACCCCTAGCCTCTAGTCTAAAACGCGTAATATATTCGGGGCGTAATATTTCCGAATTGTCTTTTGAAACGTCTTTGAACTCTTACATCGAGGTTACATGTGAGAAACCTAAGACCAAGATCAAACGTTCACCTTTTTCTCATGAGACGAACCAAACAGAGCGGAATGTTACTGGACACCTTTCTCGTGGTGTCTCACGTGAAGTAATGAAACACTAAAAAAATTTCAAAATGATCCCACTCAATATTATATCAGCAGTAGCTGACGTGTGTTTAAGGCTCTCGCTAACAACTCGCTAATAATGACTACACGCCAGCTATTGTTGACCATGTAAATCCACCCGACAAAATATCGATTGGGATCATTTTGAAATCAGTTTAGCGTCGGGCAAATTAGTAGTCTGCTACACAGCCGTTTTTAGTGTTATCACGCAACGCTCCTCTGTGGGGAGGAGCGTTGCGTAACGACACTACAAACGGCTGTGTAGAAGACTAGCGAATCAGATATATCAATGTAAGACAAGACAAACACAGTTGTTAAGGCAGCTTTTGATTTCAACATCAGATGGGAAAAATGACAGGAAATGAGTGAAAAGCTGATGTTTTATTGTTTGACTGTCACCTTAATTTCACTGATAAGAATTTTCTAAATCTCATTTCCAAATCCCTTGCCTTTTATGTCAGGAGCCGATGCTCTCCTGATTTTGTATACTATAGTTTTGTCACAATCTGCAATTATCCCTTTTGATCACTTTTGAAAATGGATGTTGACTAGCATAAGAAAGATCAAGTTTATATAAAAATGCGAAAGTTCACAATGTTTATCACCACTGTTTGTGTTTTATTTTTGATCAAACTGAGCCAAGTAATAGATCCTCTGGTTTTGCTTTTTGCTGTTATAGTTATTCTTTTTCTTTCTTTTTTTCATATATAAAACTGCACTGTAAGTAAACAACGCTCGTTTATTCGTCAGGAGCTCTGTCACGATATTTATCAAAATTCAAACAATGACAGTTGCCATCAAATTGAATAAAACATAACCGGTTCAGAAGATTGTCAACGAGGCCAATGTTTGAAACAATCTAGGGGAAGATGACCTGAACTGGTATTCTGCAAGAAAAAACACTATGTGGTTTATTGGTGTTGAAGTACAGCAAGAGACGAGTGCACCCCCTCCTAAAAAAAATCCTGGATCCACCTCTGTGGAAGGACTCAGTAATCTGAGATAAGCTACAGGTTCTAGTGCAAGCCTTCTATACATTGCCTTGTACTTACTCTGAATGTCTGTGTTTCATTTTTTTTATAAAGTAATGTATTTCTTTTTCTTCGGCTGGTGTCTGTTACTTTTCGGTAGATTTTCTTCATGTGTCTGTCATGTACTTACCGAAAGCTTCTGGTCATTAGATGCAAAAAAAGAGATCACAGCTAGGAGAATTACCAGAATTACCTTAACACTCAGAGAATATATATCTATGCCCCACTGCATGCCTTTCAATACTTTCATGGCATTTTTATTGGCGTCCGGTGTCACAGTGATATGAGCATCCCCGCTTTTTGGGCATCTCCATCCGAAAACCCTAGTGATGTGGCTATCCCAACTAACCCTAATCCAAATCACTACGGTCGTATGAGAAGGGGATGCCTGTATCGCTACGGTTTTGGGAATGGGGATGCTCAAAACGCAAGGATGCCCATATCACTGTCACACCGGGGGTACTCCACTGATTTTACTATGAAGATGTGCGGCTGAGTCTTCGACACTCTGGACCTGTTCCACACAAAATAAATAAATTTGCGACTCTGTTGCAGGTAATAAAATAGGAATCCTATCCCTGTGGCCAACCTCAGTCTTTTCCAGGCTTTGACCGGACAAAGACGGCTGCGAAGGGGAGACTGGGAGCGAAGAATACACTACAGTGCCTCGTACATGTACCTAACCGCTGCTGCTGACCAGTTGTTGTTTTGAAAGATGGAACTTAATCATGGCGCTGCAGTAGTTAGAGAAGAATACCAAGAAATCAGGAGTGTTTTTAACAACAGAGACCATTCTGGTATTTCGGCAGTTATATTTGATCCCCTTGAAGAACTTGTGTGGACAGGAAATCAATCGGTAGGTCTTAAGAGAATCGTTAGGAAATTTGGTATGGTCATAATGATTTCTGTGATCTTAATTAACGGAGCTTATTTCATGTAAAAATTATGTTAAAACTAACGAAATTGAATTGAAGTGTTTAGGTCAGGGACATATTTCACTACATTACACTGGTTGTAATATAGAAATCTTGTCCCCTTTTTTGTCTGATCTCTACGCAGATCTCATGGTTGAATAAGAATTTTGAAACTCATGGGACGTTGGTTGCCAAAGAACATTTTAGGTTGGATTTACGTTGATATATTTTAAATTGAAATTGAAAAATCTATGCTGCAAAGTTCAGTTTAGATGATTATTACACTGCAGGTTTGTAGATGGCTACTACATACATACAATAGTAGAACCTTTCTTCAGTGGCCACTGTTATGGGGGAGTTACAGTGCCACTCAAAATGATGTTACGACCCCTAACTCGCCTACCTCGTCTAGACTCGAGAGATGAGAGTCCTGTGTCAAGAGACGAGACACTCGTCTCTAGAAAATGTTGTAGGAGACACTTTTGTCGGGTAAGTTGAAAACACTGACCCCCACTCTGCTGACTACTGTACAGAGTACCCTTACAGATTACCCTAAAAAAATCAACCAAATTTACTTCTGCATGGGAAATTGATAGCAAAAACCTGCCTCCACTGCGCTGCAGATGGATTCTGCCTTCATTAACAGCCGCCATCTTGCTTTTCCCCAGTTTCCTTGACCCAGTCTTTTTTTAGTATTGCCTCATTCCTGGGTTCCACACTTGCACGTAGTTTTCACCTGCGTGATATCCCAGTCCGTGGTCTTTGTGAAATAACTGCCAACTGATGATAGCTCAAATTTCATAAAATCAGTCAGTGGATGTAAAATTAATACCAAAAAACCCACAGTAGGAGGAAGAGCCAATTTTGGAAGTAGTAGCCATCTCACCTAGAAGAGGGGGACATTGGGGGTAACCAGGGTTCTCAATAGAAGGCGGCACCCGGCGATTGATCGCCGCTTACTTTGGGATTTATAGCCGCTTACTTTGTGTTTAAGTCGCTTTTCTTTGCTTTGTTTTGTTCTTCTGCAAGTTTGCTTGAGTTGTTTCCGAATCGCTCTTTCGTTTCTTGCACGACTGTGATCCAAACAAAACCGGATCGATGAACGCCATTTTACTAGACTCCAGGCCTTCACGGTGGAACATTGTAACAAGTCCGTATGTTCCAAAATGGCGGCCAAGCATCGCCACGCGGTGCAGAAAGAACTTACTAGTTTCTTTGGCTTCTCGCAAAGCGCATCGAAGAAAGCTAAAGGTAAGTTTAAAATTTTACTGTGCCTTGATATTGAAATATCAATTTTAATTCCTTAAGTGCCAGGACAAATTTTTTATCACTCTGAAAGCCGACGTATATGATAAGCCGTCAAGGCCTTACAACATCATGTACTATTAATAAAGTTTTTCAGTTTTTTCATCACTGTCATTATAGTTGTTTTTATTTCCTGGAACAAGCCTTACAGCATTTTATTTTTCAGGCAAAGAACCTGAGCCCCCACCAACCCCAACAAATGTTGAAGAATGTGGTGAGCCAAGTATTTACAGTTCTTCTTGTGCTGCCGGTTCCCCAAGCATGGAAAGTTCTTCCTCAAGCATTTCTCGACCTCTTTCAAGCAGTGCCAGTGGTTGTTCTTTACCAAACCCAGTTTTATCCAAGCCTGTTATAGAACCATGTGAGATGAGAAAGTTAATCTCTGATACGTTTGACTTTGTTGATGACATTTCTTGTGCACATCACTCATATTTTCACTGCCTTGAGCAAAATTGTCAAAGTGTTAGCAATTCAGATGCAAGTTTATTTCATGGAAAGAAAGATAAATTCCAGCACAAATGGCTCTCTGATAAAGAGCTCACATACTGCCACCAGACTGGATTTTTTTGGCTTTTATATGCTGAAGGCAAGGGAGTGTACTGCATTCTCTGCTCCAAGCACAAAACAAGAAATAAACAAAACCAGGCTGATATCTTTACCGGGAAACCTGGAACGAGATATAAGAAATCTGCATTAAAATCACATGCTGACTCTGATCGTCACAAGGCAGCCATTGAAGCAGAGCTACTGCAGAAAAATTCTCAGTTTGCTAAGGACGTGGCAGATAGAGCTGCTAAGGGAGACAAGACTATGTTCTCTGCTTTTATGTCAGCATATTGGCTGGCAAAACATGAAGTGGCCAACTCCAAACTTTTGTCCCTTCTTAAACTTCTTGAAACATCTGGAGTAGAGCATATGAAATATTTTTCATACAAAGGTGAGGAAACACTTCGTGATATTTTTCTAACAATTGGTGAAGTAATCCAAGATACAATCATACAACAAGCAACTCAAGCTGGATGCTATGATATTTTAATGGATGAAGTAAGTGATATTTCAGTTCTGGAATTATTAGTAACTTTCATACAGTATGTTCATGACGGGGAAGTGAAAACAAATTTCCTTTTTGTTGAAGACCTCCTCAAGGCCTCCAGCTCAGCTGATGCAAACACTATCTATACAGTTGCCACAACAAAGCTTTTGTCTCTCAAACTTGAGCTGAATAAACTGGCATCAATTGTTACTGATGGAGCAAGTGCGATGACGGGCCATAAATCAGGTGTTGCTGCACTTTTAAAGGAAAGAGTTAACAAGTCCCTCATCAATGTTCATTGCTTAGCTCACTGTCTTGCTCTTTCATGTACAGATACTGCAAAGGATATAAAGTATATCACTACAGTTCAAAGTTGGATGAAGCAACTGTGGAGATACTTTGAGAACTCTCCCAAAAGAACAGCACTTTACCTAAAAGTTCAAATTGAAGTGAAGAAATTGAGTGTGTCAGACAAGGTTAGCGAGAAAGCTCATAAGAAATTGAAGAAAGCTTGCTCAACGAGATGCCTTTCCTTTGATGCTTCAACACAAGCAGTGTATGCTGATTATGTAGCTATTCTCATTACTCTCTCAGAGTTATCAGCAAGTGATGCTACTGCTAAAGGTCTTCTACATGAAATAAGAACAACCAAATTCTTGGGAACAGTGTACATTTTGAAAGAAGTTCTCCCAGAGCTCTCAAAATTGAGTAAAACTTTTCAGTACAGCAATACCAATTTCTCAACCGTGCAATCATCTGTTGACTACACAATTGACAGGTTGAAGAAAATTAAGAAGGAGATGACTCCACTCAAGAATGTTAAAGCTGATTTGGATCCTGTTAATGGAAGACTTCAACTCATCTCTGCTGTGCAACAGGACACAAGTAACCAACCAAATACTTGTGACGATTCAGCTAAGCCATCAGTGATACAGAAGTTGTCAGAGCTTAGACCACTAGAACTGAACCAGGGAACAGAGAAGCAGCTGTCCGACCTGTCATCCAAGTACATCACATGTTTAGTATCCAACATCAATGACAGATTTCAGGAATCCTTGCCTGTTGTGAGTGCATTTCAAGTCTTTGATCCATTGCTAGTTCCAGATGTTGGAGGTGTCGGTTTTTCTGACTATGGTGAGATTGATGTGAAAACAATGGCAGACCACTTTTATTCAGAATCTGCTGTGAAGGCTACCCAGTTGAAAGACGAGTGGAGAAAATTCAAATATGATCTTGCAAACTGGAAGAAGAAAGTCCCAGAGGAACTCAAGCCCAAGAAGAAGACAGCTCATGCACAATCAACATCTTGTACAGAAGGGACAACTGCCACCTCACCAGGAATGCAGCAGCAGAAAGAGCAGGCTAAGAAAAAGCCAGAAGTTAAGAAGAGACAACAATCGTCAACAGAGTGGTGTATGCAAAGGCTGATTACCTTGAAACAAGGACTTCAGTTTGAATTACTACCACAGATCGCAGAAATTGCAAGTTCTTTGCCTATGTCAAATGTCTGGCCAGAGAGAGGGGCAAGCTGTTTAAAGAGGTTGAAGACAAGGCTCAGAAGCCGAATAAATGTTGACATGCTTAATACTTTGATGCTAATCTCAATCAATGGCCCTGACCTTTATTCTCCTGAATGTAATGAATTGATTTAATCAGCTGTTCTTCTGTGGAATAACAAGAAAAACAGAAGGAAACTCCCTCCTAAAGTTCCTGTTGAAACAGAATCAACTGTTTTTGTGGCAGTTCCACATTCAGTTGATTCAGCTTGTCAGACAGAAGCTTGTGAGACAGAGAGTACTCTGGAGGATTCTTTTCTCAATCAACAATCCATTTCTGATGAAAGTGATGTTATATTGGCATTGGGTCTATCTCGGGAAGAGAGTGAATGTGATTCTGACTTTTATTCCGACTCGGAGTTTGACTAACTTCAATTTCAAAATAGAACATGCAAACATCAGCAACGGTAAGGCTAGTAACTTTATTGTACTTCTCAGCTTCAGATAACGCTTTATACACTAACAGGTATAGGCATGCATTCTAGGAATATTCCGGACCGGGACCTTAGATGGTTTGCTTTGACACCTCTGGCTTTGCTGAAGAGCCTCCTACTTTATCAGTGATCACCTCCTACTTAAAAATCTATTGAGAACCCTGGGTAACCAATACTGGAATACTATTTATATTAAGGAAGATCATTGCAGTTATACACGCAACTTTTGCAGTTGCAAAAAGGAAGCCTCAAAAACATTCTTGTACGGACTTGTACGTAACAGACTTGTACGGGATTCGAATCCTGTACAAGCCTGAATTTTTTTTCCAGGCTTTCTTTTCACAACTGCAAAAGTTGTATGTACATGTATAACTGCGATGATCGTCTGTCACATAATTTCTTCACTCCGCAGTTCACATATATGATTTTCATATATTAATTTTATAACTTCAAAAATAATATCATTTTAATGACAAATGCCAAAATACCATGTCAAAAATTGACCAAATACCAATACTGCATCTATGATTGGTCACAATTACTTAGGCTTTTTTTCATCTCTCATGTTTGTTTATCTCTAGCATGTATACATCAGTAATCAACCTCAGACATTGTGATAAATGATGAGAAGACCTTGATTTGTTTGGTACAATGATCAAACCCCTACCAACATGTTTCATCATAGATTAACTGTCAGAAATTGAGTAATCTGTGACATTTACCTTGAAGTCTAAATTCTTAAAAGTAGCACCTTTTATTAACCTGTACAGCTTACTGAGTTTTGTGTGTGCGCACTGTATTGACCTGTATTAGACAGTAGAGCACAAAGAAATGGTACTACAATACCGTGAAGGATATTCTTTTACCATGATACTGTTAGCAGCCAAAAGGATGAAAAACTGCATACCGCGGGGTTAGATTATCCAGCAATACCTCACATTGAAATCAAAATTTTTGAAATACTGCTTGAAAAAAACCTCAATACTGAAATACCGTAAATCTTAGGGGTCCCTGGGCCTCAATCTTCTAAAAAGGATCAACACATATACTGGGGACCAAGTTAGGTTGTAATAAGAAATACTGGGTCGAGGAAAAAGCAAGATGGTGGCTGTTTATTTAGTAGGAATGAGGATAGGTTTCTTGTATCTCTTTGCACCCTAAAAAGTGAATTAGGTTGACCTTTTATTGTAATCCCTAGGGGTACTCTATGGGTTGGTCTGCGGAGTAGTCCGTAAGGTAGTACGTGGAATGGGGATAAGTAGGGTAGTCTGCGTACTGGGGGTCAGTGTTTTCAACTCACCCCACTTTCATGTGTTACAAACTTTGTGTTTCCATGCTCTTCCTCAAATCCTCTGTCAATGTTTTAGTGATAAAAACGGTAGACATGCTTCTTTATAATAGCTTTTCTTGATTCTTTTCCACTCAGCCAACAACTGAAAAACAACATCCACCTGACTTTTATTTCTGAGCATTTCAAGCCTTCTGTTTGGAGTTTTTGAAAATTTAGTGTGCCATTAGAATGGTTTTCAGAAGCCATTTGAATAGTTTTTTGCTGACATGCTCATCTTGTTCCAGACTAAACCTTCTTCAGTATTTTGAGTTTTGCAAGTTGAGGACATGATCATGGCTCATAAAACATGACAGCACCTTGACAGCAGTGCCCTGGACCTGAACCAATTATCCGCAGACTTTTCTGTAGATTTCATTCAAAACTTATTCCAAAATTGCTGCCTCAATGATTCTCACAAGATGAGAGTCTCATTTCTTAAGATGAGATGCTTTCCCCTTATATGAGATGCCATTTTTGCTTTTATTGGCTGTTTTGGAGAGGTTTCCTTGGCAACAGAGATTATATTAGCAGTTGGAGAGGTAGCTTTCATATACAACCTGAACATATGGACTCTTTTTTTTTCTGTTTTGTTTGACTCGTTCAGGGCTACTTGGCATCATATTTTGGTCCTGAGTTACAGAAGTATACATCATTCAAAGTTCATCATGAAGAAATCCGTCACGTAACAGCCAATGACCATGGAATACTCTCTCTTTCCTGCAATGAGCTCTGCTTCTCTTCTCGGCCAGGACTACGAATCTTTAGGCTCAGGTAAGAATTACAGTAATGCAAAATGATAATAATAATGATAATAGTAATAGTGATAGCCCAAGATCAAAGCCTCCTAACATGCTGTACCAATACAACATCTTAAAGAAGCCTGACGTGGACCCAAAATGCAGACTGTGTGGCCGTTTCGACAAGACCATTGACCACCTGCTGGTCTCAGGATGCCCTGAACTGGCTAAAACTAAATACACCCACTGCCACAACAAGGCAGCTGCACACATGCACTGGAAAATCTCCATAGAGTTTGGCATTGAGGTGAAGGAACAATGGTATGAGCATGAACCCAAGGCTGTCACCAAGAATGACAGCATCACTTTCCTGTGGGACATGCCCATCCACAATGACAGGACCATAGCAGCTAATAGGCCAGACATTGTGCTAAAGAACAAGACGGACAAAACCTGCCTTCTCATTGACATGACTATACCCCTCGACACCAACACCTCAGTCAAAACCACGGAAAAGCTTACCAAATACAAAGACTTGGAAATCGAAGTTGAGCGAATGTGCGGGCTCAAAACAACAACAGTCCCGGTGGTTATGGGAGCCCTTGGCACCATCAAGAAGGACATGGAAAACTACACCAACAAAATCCCTGGCAACATCAACATTCATGAACTCCAGAAAGTAACTCTCCTTTCTAAAGCCCACCTTCACAGGCGGTTACTCTCCATCAAGTAGAAACCCTCTTTGCCTCCCAAAGTCCATGGTTTGGACTCGGATGTTGAGAGAGAAAATCAATCACAAATACTCTAGTATATTTTATAATAATAGTAATAATAATAATAATAATAATAATAATAATAATAATACTGCTACTAATAATAATAGTAATAATAACAATAATAATAATTTTAATAATAATAATAATAACATACACTTTTAGTATATACACACTCAGTGATTTTGGTGATTCAAGCAATCTGATTGCATCGCTATCTCGGACTATGCCGTTATATTCACCGCTCTAGGTGGTGAATATAAAGCAGAACAAAATTGCTGTTGTAAACTGGGTGTTTTGCTAAAGTTTCATAGTAAGAACTTTTTGAAAATACAAGAATATCCTAGTGTTGATGACTTTGAAGGTAAGAAAAGACTTCATGGTGTTTAAACAGTGTGACTTATTTTGAAGTGGTTTACTGTAGCTGACTTTTTGTACACTCGAAGCAATGTTTACCACTACAGAGGAAAGCAAGGCTGCTTTGTCCCTGTTTTGTGAACTCGGAAGACCAATTTTGCCTATAAATAGAACTTAATTTATGGAGAAAAAAGGCAGGCAAATATTTTCAAAAATTGTACGTGCCAGCAAGTTAACAAGGCAAAGAACACTTCAGATAAACAACGCTCACCTTGATGGTAGCCGCTGTTGACAGCATTTGCAAGAAGCAACGAAAAAAACTTTCTCATTCACGGTGAGTTGACAGAAACAAATAAAGCTCTATGTTTCTTCTCAGGATTGGGTAGTCATTTAAACTTTCAACGTTTTCTTTTAAACTGTTGATGCTAAAGCTTACTAAAATCGATACAAAAAGATTAAAACTATCATTTGCCATGTCTGAAGATACTCTAAACTTTTTGTGCAACTACTGTTTACGGCTTCGTGTTCACGCATGAATACATCCATCAATCAAACTCATTGTTTTTTCAATGGTTTCCTTTCTGATTCTGTTGAGATCACTTTTTGTGAATATACTAAAACAAATATTCACCTCTGGCTCAGTTAATATTGTTGAATAATCCCCAATTATTCAACAATATTAACTTCGCCTTCGGCAAATAATTTTTGAATATACATGTAGGCCTTGATCCAAAGCTCTTTACAATACCAATAGTAACATTACAATAGCCTAACCTAATAGAACATTACAATGACTTAATTGTTAAAAATGTTACAAGGAATTAAGTGAGGGTTGTTGGGAGAATGAACGCTGTTTGGACATTATATTACAAAAAAATATTCTTCAACACCAACAATTTGTTTACAGTTATGCAGTGCTTTTGAAACCGAATAACAGCAAACGTCACTGATAAGGGATCCAGATGGGTTCTGAGAGCTCTGCATAACTTTCATCAAATTGTTCCAAATGGTGAAGCATATTTTTCTGTGACTGCTACATGCGATGAAACCTACACCTGTGTAGCACAAATGCAACCTCGTTGAATTTAACAATTGAGTATATTAATGAGAAGAGACCTATGCCACTAGGGACTTAGCCTGTAGGGGTCACTGATTTTAGCCAGGATAATTCACTTTGTGATCTCAAAAACTGTTTAACTCATGTAGACAGCAAGAAAATAATTTAAATAGTGGCAAGTAGTTGAACTGCAATTTTTACGGTTCCTGGCACATTACATACCATAAACTGCCGCTTATACATGTAAGCCCTGGGCTTCTTAAGGGGTTTTAGAGGGCTTATACATGTATCTGAGGGAGCTTAGGGATCGGGCCATTATTTTTCTACATAGCACTATTATATTTTGGATTGTAGAGTAGCACACGGTGCTAGTATCTCCAAACTACATAATTATTAATATAAAAAATAACAAAGATCTAAAGCCCCAAAAAGGGCCTAACTTGCATAATAAATTGAAATTATTTCAATACATTTGAATGAGGGCTAATAATTATCCGGGGAGGGGACGCGGGGAGCTTATAACTGAATGTATTTTCCTGGTTACGAGCAGATAGGCCTTTAACGGATCATTATACCTTTCTAGGAAACTGCCCACCTACCCCTCCCCTAAACCAACATTTTGCCATTAGTAAGAAGTAAGTGTTAATGTTGGCTTAGGGGAGGGGTGGGAGGCTTATAACTGAGGACGGGAGCAGCAGTTTATGGTATATAATCATGTCTCCTCACCTACCCTCTTTGTGCCTCGCGTCACATAAGGCCTTCACAGAGTCCTTCTGGTTTCTGTAATAACAGGGTTTACTGGAGAAGGGTTACCAGCCTTCAGCTCAATACCCAACTTGGAGGACCAGGGGACCACACTTTGCCTGGCCTCTATCCTTCGACCTGTTCGGCATGGTTGGCCTTACTAGGAGTCAAATACTCCAGCCGACATAGCTCTATGGGTCACTGAAACACGCAAACCACTCCACCACGGTAAGGTGGTGGTCCCTTTGGAGTGGATGCATACAATCATGTACCTTGCAGCAAATGTGACAAACTCTTTGTTTCATTTCAGTGGGACAGACCTGTCAGACTTGCAGTGCATGCTGCAGGGGGATGAGACACATTTATGGGTTGCTGGGCATCAAAACTTGATGCTGGAAGTAGACTTAAAGAAGGGCCTGGTCAGCAATAAGGTAATTCACTTTAGTGTTCAAAATGCTGCCCTTTAAGGTACCTGTACATTGTAATGATCCATCGATCTAGCAATCCATCGATCTAGAGTTCCATCGTTCTAGCGATCCATCGATCTAGCTATCCACCGATCTAGCGATCCAGCGATCTAGTGATCCAGCAATCTAGCGATCCATCGATCTCCCGATCCATTGAACTAGAGATCCATCAGTCTAGCGATCCATTGATCTACTCATCCATGGTTCTAGCGATTCATCAACCTAGCGATCCACTGATCTAGTAGCCTGCGAGCAAGCTATCCTATTTGAGCGAGCCTCGCGAGAACGCGCGTTCTCGCGAAACTCGCTTCGCTCGCCCAAATAGGAGAGCTTGCTCGCAGGCTACCGATCTAGCGATCTACTGATTCATCCATCGAGCGATCCATCGATCTAGGATTTCAACGATCTAGCAATCCATCAATCTACTGATTCATCGATCTAGCGATCCACCGATCTAGCGATCTAGTTATCCATTGATGTAGCGATCCATCGATCGATCGATCTGAAGCTGTTTTTGTAATAGTTTGTGCGCGGTAATGGAACATTGAGTTTATTTTCAGAGTCCCTTAGGTTATATGCAACTTCTCGCCTTTCAAATTTAGAACTAAGATAGTTTGGAGCCAACCCGTGCAGAGACCTGTAAACCATCGTAGCTCTTTGAAATTGTTGCTGGCAAGCTAGGTTTTTCCACCCTAGAAGTTTGAAAAGGTGACCAGCATCTACGTCATAGCTTGAGTAGGTCAAAACACGGGCTGCTCTGTTTTGTAGCTTTTGAATCTTATTCCGTAAGGTTATCCCACAGTTTCCCCAAACAATGTTGCAATAATCAAAGTGTGGCTGTATTAAAGCTTGATATATTAGTTGTAAGGTCGCCTGAGGGACAAGGTGCCTTATTCGTTTTATGGCCCCAACACCAGAAGCGACTTTCTTTGTTACTTTCTCGATATGGCCACTCCAATCAAGTCTGTCATCGATGGTCACTCCAAGTGATTTTGCAGTAGTGACCTGGCTAACTTCAAAATCATTAATTGCAAATCTCGGGGACTCTGTGAGAGTACTTAGCCTCTGCCTAGATAAGCATAAATTCGGTTTTAGTCATATTTAGAGTAAGTTTGTTTGCTCTCAGCCAATTGTGAACATTTTCTAAATCTTGATTTAGATGCAACTGAATATTGTCTGCATTATCACCTGCGTACGTAAGGTGGGTGTCATCAGCGTACATCCTCGGCTCACAATTTGAAAGACAGTTTGGAAGATCGTTGATGTATAACAGAAATAATAATGGACCTAAAATCGTCCCCTGGGGAACACCACAACTTAATAAACAGCTTTGAGAGAGCGATCCGTTGATGGAGCACATTTGAGTACGATTCTCTAAATACGACTTAAACCATTGGTGCGCGTTACCATATATGCCGTAATTGCTTAATTTTGATAAAAGGATGTCATGGTCAACTGTGTCGAAGGCCTTTTTGAGATCTAGGAAAACAACGGCGTTAATTTTACCGCGGTCAATATTGTACGCCCAAGTGTCCGTGGCCTCAAGGAGAGCCGTGACAGTTGAGTGAATAGCGCGAAAGCCTGATTGATATTTACAGATTATATTGTGCTCTTCTAGGTAGGCATATAATTGATCATAGACGATTCTTTCAAAGACCTTGGCCATAACTGAGATCACCGAAATTGGACGATAATTGTTTAAGTCGTCCCGATCGCCTTGTTTAAATAGTGGGGTGACCTTTGCGCATTTCCAGTCATCCGGAAATATGCCTTGACTTATTGACTGGTTAAAAATATCACGGATAGGAATGCAAATGAGATCTGCACATTCCCGAATGAGCCTAGCAGATATCTTGTCAAGGCCAGCTGCCTTTGACTTATTTAGACGATTCAAAAGTGAGAGAACTTTATTTGTACTGGTCGGATGGAGCTGAAACCGTTTATCTGTGCCAGTGAGGTACTTTTGGTAACCATCACTATTTGAGGAATCAATATTGCTAGCAAGTTCTGGACCGATAGTAGCAAAGTGATTATTAAATTGGTTCGACAGCACAGTTGGATTTGTTATTGATACTCCATTTACTTTCAGAGATGTCACCGATTTTTTTCCCAGATTTTCGCGAAGTAAGTTCATTGATAGTCTGCCAGGTCTTTTTAGAATCGCCCGTATGCTTGTTAAAACTATTTTGATAATAGGCTTGCTTGGCTAATCTGATTTCGCTATTTACTATATTGCGTTGTTTTTTTAAAAAGTGACCAGTCATTTGAATCATTCGATTTACTTGCTTTAATCTTTAGAATATCCCGATCATGCATTCGTTTTTTAAGCTCAGATGTAATCCGGAACTACGCGTGCGAACACGCATTGTCCTCAAGGGAGCATGCTTGTTAACAATAGATAGAAACGAGCATTTCCATTGTAGCCACATTTGATTGGGATCGGTTGAATTGTATATGTGATCCCAACAATGAGATGCAATATCACTCCGAAAATTTATTCGATTAAATTTTCGAAAGTTTCTGTAGGTTATAGCATTGTGCCCACCAGACATTCCATTCACGGATAATTTTCGATAGGCAAAAACTATGCTATGATCGCTAATACTGATATGATGAACCCCCGAACACACAACTTTATCTGGACAATTAGTATAGATTACATCAATCAAAGTTGCAGAAGTCGGAGTTATTCTGGTTGGTTCAGTGATAAGTTGCTGTAGACCATAAATATCACTGATATTCATTAATTTGCATGTATTATTGTCATATCGAGTAGCAATCATGTCGCAGTTCAGGTCTCCCATTAGAAAATATTCAATATTTTCGGAATCGAGTTTCCCAATTAAAGTTTCGAAAGGTGAAAAAATACCAATAGGAGAATCAGGTGGTCTATACCACGTGGCAACAACAAACGGTTTAGATCTAGGTTTTTGAATTTCCAGACATAGATTTTCAAGAGTGTCCATGTTTAAATCATTTCGTATGGTAAAATTTATTGAACTTTTCACATAGAAACACACTCTTCCTCCACCGTTTGTAATTCTATCCATCGATCTAGCGATTCATCGATCTACTGATCCTTCGATCTAGTGAGCCATCGATGTAGCGATCAATCGCTCTAGCGATCCATCGACCTAGCGATCCATCGATCTAGCGATCCAGCGATCTAGCGATCCAGCGATGTATTGATCCATCCATCTAGCAATCCATCGATCTAGCTATCCACCGATCTAGCTATCCAGCGATCTACTGATCCATCGATCTCCAGATCCATCGATCTACCGATCCATTAAACATGTTCTAGCGATCCATCAATCTACTGATCCATCGATCTAGCGATTCATCGATGTACTGATCCTTCAATCTAGCGAGTCATCGATCTACTGGTCCATCGATGTAGCGATCAATCGCTCTAGCGATCCATCAATCTAGCGATCCATTGATCTACTGATCCATGGTTCTAGCGATTCATCGATCTAGCGATCCCCCTATCTAGCGATCTACTGATCCATCCATCAAGCGATCCATCGATATAATGATCCATTGATCCACTGATCCATCGATCTAGCGATCCAACGATCTAGCGATCCAGCGATCTACTGATCCATCGATCTAGGAATTCAATGATCTAGCAATCCATTAATCTACTGATCGATCCATCTAGCGATCCACTGATCTAGCGAATCCAGCGATCTACTGATCCATTGATTTAGTGATCTACTGATCCATCGTACTAGCGATCCATCGATCAAGCGATCCATCCTTCTAGCGATCCATTGATGTAACGATCCACCGATGTCGCGTTCTACTGATCTACCATCCAGCGATCCACCGAGCTAGCGATCCATCGATCTACTGATCCATCGATCTAGCGATTCATCGATGTACTGATCCATCGATCTACAGAGCCATCGATCTAGCGATCCACCGATCTAGCAAATCCAGCGATCTACTTATAGATCGATCTAGCAATCCATCAATCTAGCGATCCAGTGATCTACTGATCCATTGATCTAGTGATCCATGGATCTAGGGATCCACCGATCTAGCGATCCATCGATCTACTGATCCATCGATCTAGCGATCCATCGATCTACTGATCCATCGATCTAGCGATTCATCGATCTACTGATCCTTCGATCTACTGAGCCATCCATCTACTGATCCATCGATGTAGCGATCAATCGCTCTAGCGATCCAGCGATCTAGCAATCCACCGATCTAGCGATTAAGCGATCTATTGATCCACCGATCTAGCTATCCAGCGATCTACTGATCCATCAATCTACAGATCCATCTATCTACCGATCCATTGATCTACCGATCCATTGAAGTAGAGATCCATCAAACTAGCGATCCATTGATCTACTGATCCATGGTTCCAGCGATTCATTGATCTAGCGATCCACCTATCTAGCAATCTACTGATCCATCCATCAAGCGCTCCATCGATGTAATGATCCATCGATCTACTGGTCCATCGCTCTAGCGATCCAACGATCTAGCGATCCAGCGATCTACTGATCCTTCGATCTAGGAATTGAATAATCTAGCAATCCATTAATCTACTGATCCATCGATCTAGCGATCCACTGATCTAGCGAATCCAGCGATCTACTGATCCATTGATTTAGTGATCTACTGATCCATCGTACTAGCGATCCATCGATCAAGCGATCCATCCTTCTAGCGATCCATTGATGTAACGATCCACCGATGTCGCGTTCTACTGATCTACCATCCAGCGATCCACCGAGCTAGCGATCCATCGATCTACTGATCCATCGATCTAGCGATTCATCGATGTACTGATCCATCGATCTACAGAGCCATCGATCTAGCGATCCACCGATCTAGCAAATCCAGCGATCTACTTATAGATCGATCTAGCAATCCATCAATCTAGCGATCCAGTGATCTACTGATCCATATATCTAGGTATCTATCGATCTAGGCATTCGCCGATCTAGCAATCCATCAATCTACTCATCCATCGATCTATTGATCCATCGATCTACTGATCAATCGTTCTAGCAATCCATCGATCAAGCAATCCACCGATCCAGCGATCCAGCGATCTATTGATCCATCGATCTATACATCTATCGTTCTAGCGATCCAGCGATCTAGCTATCCACCGATCTAGCGATCCAGCGATCTACCGATCCGTTGATCTAGACATCCATCAATCTAGCGATCCAGCGATCTACCGATCCACTGATCGAGCAATCTACTGATCCATCGATCTAGTGATCCATCGATCTACTGATCCATCGATCTAGCGATCCCGCGATCTAGGAAGTCAATGATCTAGTGACCCATATAACTGCTGATCCATCGATCTAGCGATCAGCCGATCTAGCGATCTACTGATCCATCGATCTAACGATCCACCGATCTACTGATCCATCGATTTAGTGATCCATCGATCTAGCGATTCATCGATCTACTGATCCATCGATCTAGCGATCCAGCGATCTATTGATGCATCGATCTAGTAATCCATCGATCTAGAGATCCATCGTTCTATCGATCCATCGATCTAGCTATCCACCGATCTAGCGATCCAGCGATCTACTGATCCGTGAATGGAGCGAACCATCGAATTAGCGATCCATCGGTCTAGCGATCTTTCGATATAGCGAGCCATCGTTCTAGCGATCCTTCGATATAGCGAGCCATCGTTCTAGCGATCCACCGATCTAGCAAATCCAGCGATCTACTTATAGATCGATCTAGCAATCCATCAATCTAGCGATCCAGTTATCTACTGATCCTTTAATCTAGTGATCCATCGATCTAGGCATTCACCGATCTAGCAATCCATCAATCTACTGATCCATCGATCTATTGATTCATCGATCTACTGATCAATCGATCTATTGATCCTTTGACCTAGCGAGCCATCGATCTATTGATCCATCGATCTACTGATCCATCGATGTAGCGATCAATCGCTCTAGCGATCCATCGACCTAGGAATCCACCGATCTAGCGATCCAGCGGTCTATTGATTCTTCGATTTAGCAATCCACCAATCTAGCGATCCACCAATCTAGCAATCCAGCGATCTACTGATCCATCGATCTACCGATCCATTGATCTACCGATCCATTGAACTAGAGGTCGATCAATCTAGCGATTCATTGATCTACTGATCCATGGCTCTAGCGATTCATCGATCTAGCGATCCACCTTTCTAGCGATCTACTGATCCATCCATCAAGCGATCCATCGATCTACTGATCCATCGATCTGGCGAACCAACGATCTAGCGATCCAGCGATCTACTGATCCATCGATCTAGGAATTCAAAGATCTAGCAATCCATTAATCTACTGATCCATCGATCTGACGATCCACTGATCTAGCGAATCCAGCGATCTACCTATACTTCGATCCAGCAATCTATCAATCTAGCGATCCAGCGATCTACTGATCCATTGATTTAGTGACCCATCGATCTACTGATCCATCGTACTAGCGATCCATCGATCAAGTGATCCTTCGTTTTAGCAATCCATTGATGTAGCGATCCACCGATATCGCGTTGTACTGATCTATCCATCTAGCGATCCACCGATCTAGCGATCCATCGATCTACGGATCCATCTATCTACTGATCCATCGATCTAGCGATTCATCGATCTACTGATCCATGGATCTAGCGATCCATCGATCTAGCCATCCATCGATCTAGTGATCCATCGATCTAGGGATCCAGCGATCTACCGATCCGTTGATCTAGACATCCATCAATCTAGCGATCCATCGATCTAGCGATCCACTGATCGAGTAATCTACTGATCCATCGATCTAGTGATCCATCGATCTAACGATCCATCGATCTAACGATCCAGGAAGTCAATGATCTAGTGACCCATATAACTGCTGATCCATCGATCTAGCGATCCATCGATCTAGCGATCCACTGATCGAGCAATCTACTGATCCATCGATCTAGTGATCCATCGATCTAACGATCCATCGATGTAACGATCTAGGAAGTCAATGATCTAGTGACCCATATAACTGCTGATCCATCGATCTAGCGATCCACCGATCTAGCGATCTATTGATCCATCGATCTAACGATCCACCCATCTACTGATCCATCGATTTAGTGATCCATCAATTTAGTGATCCATCGATCTAGCGATTCATCGATCTACTGATCCATCTATCTAGCGACCCAGCGATCTATTGATGCATCGATCTAGTAATCCATCGATCTAGAGATCCATCGTTCTATCGATCCATCGATCTAGCTATCCACCGATCTAGCGATCCAGCGATCTACTGATCCGTGGATGGAGCGAACCATCGAATTAGCGATCCATCGGTCTAGCGATCCTTCGATATAGTGAGCCATCGTTCTAGCCATCCACCGATCTAGCAAATCCAGCGATCGACTTATAGATTGATCTAGCAATCCATCAATCTAGCGATCCAGTGATCTACTGATCCATTGATCTAGTGATCCATCGATCTAGGCATTCACCGATCTAGCAATCCATCAATCTACTGATCCATCGATCTATTGATCCATCGATCTACTGATCAATCGATCTAGCGATTCATCGATCTATTGATCCTTTGACCTAGCGAGCCATCGATCTATTGATCCATCGATCTACTGATCCATCGACCTAGGAATCCACCGATCTAGCGATCCAGCGGTCTATTGATTCTTCGATCTAGCAATCCACCAATCTAGCGATCCAGCGATCTACTGATCCATCGATCTACCGATCCATTGATCTACCGATCCATTGAACTAGATCGATCAATCTAGCGATTCATTGATCTACTGATCCATGGCTCTAGCGATTCATCGATCTAGCGATCCACCTTTCTAGCGATCTACTGATCCATCCATCAAGCGATCCATCGATCTACTTATCCATCGATCTAGCGATCCAGCGATCTACTGATCCATCGATCTAGGAATTCAAAGATCTAGCAATCCATTAATCTACTGATCCATCGATCAGATTGATCGATCTAGTTCAATGGATCGGTAGATCAATGGATCGGTAGATCGATGGATCAGTACATCGCTGGATCGCTAGATTGGTGGATTGCTAGATCGAAGAATCAATAGACCGCTGGATCGCTAGATCGGTGGATTCCTAGGTCGATGGATCGCTACATCGATGGATCAGTAGATCGATGGCTCGCTAGGTCAAAGGATCAATAGATCGATGAATCGCTAGATCGATTGATCAGTAGATCGATGGATCAATAGATCGATGGATCAGTAGATTGATGGATTGCTAGATCGGTGAATGCCTAGATCGATGGATCACTAGATCAATGGATCAGTAGATCACTGGATCGCTAGATTGATGGATTGCTAGATCAATCTATAAGTCGATCGCTGGATTTGCTAGATCGGTGGATCGCTAGAACGATGGCTCACTATATCGAAGGATCGCTAGACCGATGGATCGCTAATTCGATGGTTCGCTGCATCCACGGATCAGTAGATCGCTGGATCGCTATATCGGTGGATAGCTAGATCGATGGATCGATAGAACGATGGATCTCTAGATCGATGGATTACTAGATCGATGCATCAATAGATCGCTGGATCGCTAGATAGATGGATCAGTAGATCGATGAATCGCTAGATCGATGGATCACTAAATCGATGGATCAGTAGATGGGTGGATCGTTAGATCGATGGATTAGTAGATCACTAGATCGGTGGATCGCTAGATCGATGGATCAGCATTTATATGGGTCACTAGATCATTGACTTCCTAGATCGTTAGATCGATGGATCGTTAGATCGATGGATCACTAGATCGATGGATCAGTAGATTGCTCGATCAGTGGATCGCTAGATCGATGGATCAGCAGTTATATGGGTCACTAGATCATTGACTTCCTGGATCGTTAGATCGATGGATCGTTAGATCGATGGATCACTAGATCGATGGATCAGTAGATTACTCGATCAGTGGATCGCTAGATCGATGGATCGCTAGATTGATGGATGTCTAGATCAACGGATCGGTAGATCGCTGGATCCCTAGATCGATGGATCACTAGATCGATGGATCGCTAGATCCATGGATCAGTAGATCGATGAATCGCTAGATCGATGGATCAGTAGATAGATGGATCCGTAGATCGATGGATCGCTAGATCGGTGGATCGCTAGATGGATAGATCAGTACAACGCGATATCGGTGGATCGCTACATCAATGGATTGCTAAAACGAAGGATCACTTGATCGATGGATCGCTAGTACGATGGATCAGTAGATCGATGGGTCACTAAATCAATGGATCAGTAGATCGCTGGATCGCTAGATTGATAGATTGCTGGATCGAAGTATAGGTAGATCGCTGGATTCGCTAGATCAGTGGATCGTCAGATCGATGGATTGCTAGATCTTTGAATTCCTAGATCGATGGATCAGTAGATCCGTCGATCTAGTGATCCATCGATCTAGGGATCAATCGTTCTAGCGATCCATCGATCAAGCAATCCACCGATCCAGCGATCCAGCGATCTATTGATCCATCGATCTATACATCTATCGTTCTAGCGATCCAGCGATCTAGCTATCCACCGATCTAGCGATCCAGCGATATACTGATCTATTGATGTAGCTATCCACCGATCTAGCGATCTAGCGATCTACCGATCTACCTAACGATCCATCGATCTACTGATCCATCGATCTAGCGATCCCGCTATCTAGGACGTCAATGATCTAGTGACCCATATAACTGCTGATCCATCGATCTAGCGATCCACCGATCTAGCGATCTACTGATCCATCGATCTAACGATCCACCGATCTACTGATCCATCGATTTAGTGATCCAGCGATCTATTAATGCATCGATCTAGTAATCCATCGATCTAGAGATCCATCGTTCTATCGATCCATCGATCTAGCTATCCACCGATCTAGCGATCCAGCAGTCTACTGATCCGTGGATGGAGCGAACCATCGAATTAGCGATCCATCGGTCTAGCGATCCTTCGATATAGCGAGCCATCGTTCTAGCGATCCATTAATCAGTTAGGGTACTGTCAGTAGTGCTTTAGATAGAGCGATTTTCGTATGACCTTAAAATGAAACGCGCGAACAAAACAGAAACAATAAACGAACGGAAATAGAGCGATTTGATTGGTTTATCCAACTGATACAAACCGGCGTGGCTTTTGGTTGGTTAAGCGAGCGCTCGGGTGAAAAAATTTCACGCGCGAGAACTTTCTAGAAATCAATCGGCTTCGCTTTGACGTCATACTGCAACACGATTGGCCAATCGAACAATGCCTTCTTCATGTTAGGGTTTCTTTGGCGGGAAAACGACGAGGCTATAATTTAATCTTTCCATCCGTTGGCCTATAAAAGAAATAACGAACACTTACCGATTTTCATAGGAAAATCGCTCTAAGTAGCATGTAGTTTACCCATACTTTAAATACTTAGCCAACTTTCCAAAAGTCAGAACTTTCTCCTAGCCGTGGTTACAGTCCAACTAATTGTAAAGAGTTCATTATTTAAGAAAGACTTTTTATTGTTGATGTTTTTTTAACTGTAGACTGAGGTGGAACCTGGAACTGTTGTAATGAAACAGTCTGCTCGTTATCTTTGCTGCGGTGACACAGCTGGCAAGGTAATGTACGGTCTTTTGTTGTTTTATCTGTGACCCCCTATTCACACCAAAGCTTAAACATGTCTGTTTAGCTTAAGATGGTTGAAAGTTATTTTTTTCTTTATGAAAGCTGCTTACTGTACTTTTAGTGATGCAAATTTAGTGTAATTATATAACATGTTAAATTTTCATTTAAATTTTTTGTAAAATCCTGCGTTTAAGTTTTCTGTTAATGATTTTCATTTTTTAAAACCTAGTTTAATTAAACATATTTAGCTGGTGTGCATGGGGTCTTAATATTAATAATGACCCCGACGTGTTATGCAGACTGCAACATTTAAGTCAAACCTGCCATGTACAACACATTCTCGTAAGCCACAAAGGGGGAAAGAGCGAGTTATATTACACATGAGCTTAATGTAGCGCTTGTTTCTTCTCATCATCGCTTAAAGAACGAGGTATGTTACACGTTCATTCCGCTTGTTTCGTCTCATGATTGTTTAAAGAACGAGATATATGGCACAAACTCTTTATTTAACAAAAATTAACTTTGTTTCTCTGTACACTTCACCTGATAAAATTTTGGCCACATGGCTTAGCATGACTCAGCATTTCGAACGACTTAACTCTGGTTTCGGGCGACATACAGTAACTTCGGGCGAGATGACTTTCGGGCAACTTGACCGGTTGGTTACCACCCGAAAGTTAGCCGGTGAACAAGCTCTCCGGTCAAAAAAGTTAGGAAACTTGGTTGATTTCCCCCGCCTCCCCTACACAAAAGGAAGTGATCGTCATAGTGATTGGCTGCAGCTATAATTTATTCAGGTACACGGTTTTTGACGTTTTTGGGTGGTAAGATTGGTGCGCTGCAAATCTGAGATTCCTCAGGCATTCACGAACTGCTTTACTAAAGAATTCACAAAGTGACGCACGGTGTAAGAAGCACAACGGAAACCGCCTTACTAAATATGTTGATTTTGTTGACAGTAATGACTCAGTAACCGCATTAGGTTTTTGTAAAACTGTGATGTGTTGTTAGTAAATGTGTATACCAGTAGTTCTCTCAAAACGCAAAGTGCTATGTAACTGGAATTAAAAGGAACAGTTTAATTATCCCAATAGTAAATGATCGTTACATTTGATTTACATACGCCATGTTTCCTATCAGGTTCGGCTGAGAGATCCTTCTTCCTTAACCTGGGAACATGTGTTAGATGCACATACTGGGACATTGTCTGATTTCGACGTGTCAGGAAATCTTTTGGTCACTTGTGGCTTTTGTTCAAGGTAAAATTAACTTGCTGTCAGTGCATTATTATCTGTAGGACCCCTTTTAACCCCGTAAGTTCCAATATCCACATACAAATTCTCCAGACTGACCTTCAGGCGTAATCTCTGGAGAATTAGTTGAGAGAATTTGATAAGAGGTCAAAACATTTTCCCTTTGGTGATCATTTTATTAATTCTCATTCCTTTTCTCTTAATTATATATTTTTAAGATTGTTAGAGGAAAATTGATGGCGTTATATGTTACTTGTATACCTTTTCAAGCCAAGGGCTTATAGCCGTGCGCTGTGCGCTTGGTACATTGGGCTCAGTAATGACTATAGGTTCATAAAAATCAGCCACTCAGCGCGCGAGAAATATTTCAGTTATGGTAAAAAATTTATGCAGAGTTACTGGATCATACTCAACGAGGTACATCAGTGCCTGATCGTTTTCAAATTTTGGTTTTATTTTTAGAATGGGACGTCTCGCCGTTGACAGATTTCTGATGGTTTATGATCTGAGAACTCTGAGGGCGTTGCCGCCTCTTCAGGTATGCTAGGGATCTTACGACGGTGACGGCAACGGAAAAACGTAAAACACAACAGGTTTAGGAATCAAAAACAACACAACTCTACCATGCATCACGGTTTTCTCCGTCCTTGCCCAACTACGACGTGAAATTACTAAATAAGCCCTTTGCAGCTAGCCATTCACGTGGTACAAAACTGCCATGGTGGATTCGCAGTGGGACAAGACAAACGAAAAACATACTTTATTATAAATGGTAATTTCCTTTGTTTGTCTTGTCCCAGTAAGGAAGGCTTTTGCTCTGCCGTATGGCGGTTTTGTACCACGTGAATGGCTAGCTGCAAAGGGCCTGTTAAGTTAACTTGGGTACGTGAAGGGCAAGGCAGTAAATTTTACTATATCTGTCTGAATGCGGACGCGGTTCCAGCCAAATTTCTATAAGTAACTGGGCGAATTGGAATAACCACGAAAAATTTTTAAAGGATGCGAAGTCTATTTTTTCTGCGACTTTTTTATTGGCGGCTGTTAATCCTGGATCGTAAGGTCTCTCGAAAGGGTGCTTTTCCGGGGAACGATATATTTTTTTAGCTTGTAACTGTATTAAAGGGACAGGTGCACGGTTCAGCGAATGCTCATTTATCAAAATGCTGTTTTTCTGCCGGGACATGCTGTATCGTCTATGCAAGCAATATGATCATGTCATAATGTTGTTAAAGAACCAATCTGCACAATCCCCATCCTCGGCGACCCAGGGGCAGTCAGTCGGGTCGATAAAATGTTCGTGGTGAAAGTTTACTGTAAGATCGAGACGAGCCCCTGGGCACTTACTCTTACCGAACCAGTTCCAGAAGCGTTTGAATTGCCTGCCTCTGATTGGCCAGAAAAAAAATTTTTCTGGCCAATCAGCGAAGAGAAGCTGCCGGGTGACTCTCGTGTTTTCTTACACGACGTAGTTTTCCTCATCGATCGCTATAGTTGCGTAGCGCGTTCAACGGGAAAGTTTCCCGAGGAAAGTTTCAGAACAAAATCTTAACAACCCGCAAAAACTACAACCTTTAGCACGGCTACAAGAAACAAACACTCTCCGATGAATTTTTAAGGCGGATCTTTCCAAGGTATCGTAAATTTTTATTGCTGATACGATACGCGATGCATGACTTTCACTTTCCACACCTTAATTTGCTCACATTGTTTAGTATACAACTCCAAGCTTACATTTAGATGTCCATGTTCGTTGCACGACTTCTGAAACTTTCTACAGCGTGAAAATTTCCGTTGCACGGGCCACGCAACTACGTCGATTGATCGTGGGAAATGCCGGCTAGCGCATAGCTGGAGTGCCTTCTTCTTGCTTTTGCTCCAAATTTTTAAGCTTAAAAGCTTACAGCAGTTGACCGTACGAATTCTGCCGAAGTTGATAGTAGTGTTAACTTTAGATTCGAGGGAAACGTCCAGCAAGCGCTTGAAGAAGGCTTGCAAAGATTTGTTATTGAGAAGATTGTGAAAAGAAGAGATGTTCTTGGGCAATTGATAGAAGAGTCTAACCTTCCAAATGTTGCCTGTAAGCTAGGGGGTTTAAAAATCGTTAGATGCTAAAGGTTATGAATTCCCTTGTAATCCTTTGGTCATAGTGATTTCACCTCTCATGTCAGTTGTTGAGGACCAGGTAAAGTACTCGAGGTCACTAGGAATTCAGGCCGCTTACTTAGGGGAAAGCAAAACGAAAGATCGAGAAATATTGAATGGATAGGGAACGTTTTCTTTGTTGTATGGAAGCCCGAAATCATTAACTGGGGGACAAGAAATTCAGGGCAATGTTCTCTACGGAGTTTTACCAGAAGAATCCTGTTGCAGATACATACAGCTGTTCATTGGTAAGTATGCTGATTTGTTTACTAGAAAGGGTGCTACACTGGATTCATTGTGGGCAGTTCTGAAGGGGTAAAATGGGATTTAAGTCACTGGCAGGGGGATTCTCTCACTGAGAATGGAAAAAAATGAAAACAATGGGAATTGAGGGTTAAACAGTTTCAATGGGATTATTATCCCCTCTGCAGGACCCTCATTATACTTAACAGTAGATCTGGCTTTTATTCAAGGATGCTCAGTAATCTTATGTCTGAAAGCTGACAGACAGTTCACAAGAATTATCATGTTTTTTGTCACCATCTATTGACAATTAAAAGCTGATAAAGTAAGCCTTGTGACTGCTTAAGATAATAGTGCAATTGAACATTTACATATTATAAATGGAAAAGCATCCCATAATACAGAACTACAGATGCCATTACATTAATTTTATTTTTAAGCTGTTGAGATTGCTTTTTTTTACTTTATCATTATTGGAATTCACATGTCTACTTATACTACTGCTTGACTTATAGAAATACTAGGGAGCTTCAATATTTTATTTTAACAACAACCTGCAGAAGAGAAAAAAATCCTTCCTTTTTTGATGACAGTAATGAAAACAGCAGAATCATTCCAAGCCACTTATGTTGTGACATCAGTGCCAAAGACTGTTAGTCTGCTTAAAGAAAATCAAGATGATCTGAGACAGGAATTTCAAGAATCAAATCTTCACTGCTTGTATTCTAGAATTTGTATTCTCTGATTGTCTTCTATAGGAAACAATAATTGATAATTGTCATAAATTATGTACTGTGGAAGGTATTTTAGAGACAATGTGTGTAATGGTGACCATGCAATGAAGATTTTTACCTTTCTGAAGAGGGTGTTTAAAGATTTAAAAATAATTATAAATGAAGAATATTATTGTCAGATGAGGAGAATTATAATAGGGAAGTTGTAAAATATCAAACAAATGCACCAAAGGAAAATTGTTAATATTGCAGCATTATTTTTTCAAGATAAGTCCAATCTTGTAGATTCAATTCCAAGGGAGTTAAAACAATGGCACTGTGGATGTGTTTGAGGGGGTCAGTAAGGGGAAACATCAAGCCAATCATAGATAAAAAGTTTGGCAAAAAATCACATATTATGTGAAATTAATTTTATACATGTACTTGTTAAAAGATATCTTATAATGAAAATTCATTTGTACTATACTAGCCATAATTCTAATCACAGTGAAGATTAACCCAGTAAGCCAGACCCTGACCCAGGTCCTTGAAATCAAGAGCTGAAGTTGGATCTTTGGAAAGTGTCCCTACTCCTTGGTCTCTTCTCCCTGGAATTTCCTTAAGAGCGTTCACCTCTTGTAAAGTTTTAGTGACTACAAAAATATCTATATAGACATCCCACCCTTCCACGATTTCTCAACTCTATACCTACACGTGTCACACCCTGCGCCTTTTATCGCCCTCCAAAACTTTCACACCAACCACTTTCAAACATTTTTCGCAAATTCAACTTTATTTTTTTTTCTTCGCTTATCCGTAAAAACAAACCCACACAGCCTGCAAAAATCGACCTCACTTAAAAAGTCACGATTCAGCACATAACCGGACCGAGATTTCGAACTAAACACAACGGCTGTATTTAAAATACTTACGGTAAGGGAGTTTGCGCGAAAGCAAGAAGGTGTGCACTGCATCAAGCCAGCAATTCCCACGATCAATCGACGCAGTTGCGTGGCCCGTGCAACGGAAATTTTCACGCTGTAGAAAGTTCAGAAGTCGTGCAACGAACATGGACATCTAAAATGTAAGCTTGGAGTTGTATACTAAACAATATGAGCAAATTAAGGTGTGGAAAGTGAAAGTCATGCATCGCGTATCGTATCAGCAATAAAAATTTACGATACCTTGGAAAGATCCGCCTTAAAAATTCATCGGAGAGTGTTTGTTTCTTGTAGCCGTGCTAAAGGTTGTAGTTTTTGCGGGTTGTTAACATTTTGTTCTGAAACTTTCCTCGAGGAACTTGCCCGTTGAACGCGCTACGCAACTATAGCGATCGATGAGGAAAACTACGTCGTGTAAGAAAACACGAGAGTCACCCGGCAGCTTCTCTTCGCTGATTGGCCAGAAAAATTTTTTTCTGGCCAATCAGAGGCAGGCAATTCAAACGCTTCTGGAACTGGTTCGGTAAGAGTAAGTGCCCAGGGGCTCGTCTCGATCTTACAGTAAACTTTCACCACGAACATTTTATCGACCCGACTGACTGCCCCTGGGTCTCCGAGGATGCACAATCCCCTGGCAGTCACTAGCACTTGATCAACTTAAATATTTGCAAATAGCTGTAAATTAATGAACCATGGGATAAAAGCTTCGGGTCAACAATAAATTCAACGGTGGTAGTGCTGACATAATCCACTAATTTTTTCTGCGATTTTAGCACTCCTCCATCCTACTTCAGGTTACTCTGAAATACAATTCTACTTTGAAATACACTCTGAGATCGCTGAGATACATGTGAGTGGGATTATTAACCGATAGAATTAACAGATCGTTTTCACTGTCACGCAACAAAAAAATAAATTGGAAACCGTCCAGTGGAAGAAGCCAAGAAAATGAAATGTTATAAAAGACTAACATATAAACATTTTGTCCAACTCTCAGGTCTTTGGGGCCCACAGATTCTGAGTTATTTGCCGAAACGTTTCACGCACCTTTGTAGAGCTTTGTATGGAGACGCCATATTGGTGCACCGTTTTGTGCACCAATGTGGCCGCAGGAAATCAACAAAAACATCTGGGGTCCACTTTTTCTATAAAAGCTCTTTCTTTTCACTCGAGAACTAGCATACTCGCGCATAAACATATCTTCTAATACTTGAAACGGTTATACTATTGGAAATCAAGTGGACAGCCTTTTTTTTAACGAGACAGCGTTCCTATTTTGGTGTCACGCACTGTGAAAACTTGGAAGTTCAAATTGCTGTAATTTCGAAATGAAACATGGTACGGGATTGTACAAAGGTTTACTTTTTGTTTATCTTCAACCTAGTGTAAACAAGACGCTGTGTGAGCGTATATTTGGGTGTGGTCGTACTACGGGTATGATACTTTGAACGTGCCTTATTGCAGCTAAAGAACTGTCATCATCTCTTACCAGAGAAGACAAATCCTTTTCTCCACTTGTTTGTTGAACCACACAGCTAATACAGTATGTCTCAATCCACAACAAAAATAGTGTCATTTCACGACAGTGTTTGAAAATATACACATCTTCAATGCAGACATGCTTGGAGCCAAATTGCAACATAGGACATCAGTGTTTACAGCCCGGAGAGTAAGGTTTATCTCAGCTCCACTGATACTGACAGATGTGTTTTCACACCCATAACTTTGCATAGTGTATTCCGGTTACTAACAAGGGCAAATAAAGTTCCTTAAGTCCAGTATCCACAAGGAATAATAAGACAGTAACACATTGCATAAACTGCTATAGGGCAGCAGTGTTTACAGGAACATTGGTAACTATTAACATTTGATATACTACAATTTTCAACATTGCTAGAGAAAAGATGAGGTTCAAAGGCGGCAATATGTACACCTTTAAGTTCATATATATCCTCATTCCTATGCAGAGTCTGAAAATATTGTACTAATTTATGCATTGATGGTATTTCCAACAATACACATGTCCCTTCACTATGACTGTTATGATGCATATCTCTAGCATGAGAATCAAATACATTATATACCCCAGCCTTAGTGCTGTACATACCAACACCAATAATTGCCACCGTTAAAATGAATGAGTTGTAGTTCAGTGCCAAGAGTGTTTGAAATACTGTAACCTGTGAGCGGCATATACAGTGGTGATGTATGTTACAAGTGTAACTGTCACTGTATTCAAGGTGGAAAAATTGCTCAAACACTGTAACCATTCCTGGCAATTCTGTTAACATTGACATAGATTGTCTTGCAAGCAGTGACAGACAAGAATATAATTGAATACCAACAATCATTATTTGAGTCATATCATCAACTGAAGTCATCTTTGTTATCTTACTGTAAATTAAAGCGCACAGACTCATTGCGACACATCGTTGTCCACCATTTTCCCCAAATCCTGTAACATTTCCTTGACAGTATGGAGTATTAATTGTTTTTGTAGCATCTACATAAACTGACGGCCCTGGATTCTTTTCTATATTAGTACAAAGCTTAGAAATTGGCCAAAATTAACCCGGTGATTCAAACTGTTTTAAGCACTATAAAATGGATAATTACATGTACAGAGGGGCAAATTCTTACTTAGAAGCCTATTTGGATATCTCATTCCACCTAAATCGCCTGTGATCTGCTGCTTGGACGACAGATACACCTTCCCCCGTTTACGAACTAGTTTTGTAGTTGTCCCTTAAGTAAAAACCTCACACTGTTACTGTTACTTCTGTACCTGTGAAAGTGTAAACCTTTTCTACTTTTAACGTAACGATGAATTTCAGACGACAATGGTGTATTTTTCCGAATACTCTTCCATACAAAAAGTGTCACTTTCCGTGTTTTCTGTAACAAAGATTTTAATTTGTTCATTGGTAGTCTGCTAGTGGCATGACGGTAACCGGTCATTTTGTTCCATGGTCAGATCGTTGACATCGTTAATTCCAAGTCAGATCGTTCCAATCAATAGTCAGATCGTTCCATGAAATAGTCAGTTCGTTCCACAAAAAAGTCAGTTCATTCCACATATGAAAAGTCAAGTGAATCTTTCTAAATTCGTTGAGTGAACTTTATCGAGAAGGAAAAGGTTTCGTTCATACCACAAGCTGATAAAATAATAATCAATCCAAAGTCGGTTCGATCCATCCTAAATCGTTTGAAAACAAACAAGAGACGATTTCAACCAGCCACGGGCTTTAACATTTAAACCGCTGCTTTGAGAGTTTTGAGCTAAAATCGATCGATAGTTTTGAAAGATATAGCACAACAAGTAAAAGATATGCCGCTCTGAAGGTACAGTATTTCGAACCGGGGGGGGGGGGTACTCCCATACATTACCTATACGGGTATGTGCCGCCCAACGGGGTCGTGATTTTGAAGCTCCTGATTTAGAACGGGGTATCCATTTCAGAGGCGTTTTCTAGAACGGGGTATAAAAAATTGTGGATCACGGCTTTATCTTCTGCTTAAAATTGTTACTGATTATGAAGAAGCATTTATTTGATGTATAAGTCGAACAAATAAAGAAATACCTTTTAAAAAAACAGGGCTATTTCAATTTACAAACTTTCTAGAACGGAGTATAAAAAATCGGCCCATTTCTAGAACGGGGTATAAGTTTAAGGGCGAATACTAGAACGGGTTATAAAAAATTGGCCCATTTCTAGAACGGGGTATCAATTTTAGGGAAATTTTTTTTTAGAATGGGGTGCCAATTTGGAGTCCCGGGCGGCACATACCCACCCAAAAAATACCCAAGTGCCCCCCCCGGGATTTCGAAGCACATGTAACCTAAATATTCCTTTGCAGCGGCCGATTTATGCAAATTTTGAAAACAACGCGAGTTTCGAATTACAATCTCGATTTTATGGTAATTTGTCATGCCGAAAATATAATGGACTAACCTGGTTTAAACCAATGAAATTGTAAGTTCTGTTATAAATAAATTTCCCACGACGAGATCAACTTCTTTTATTTCCTCCACAACACAATTTTCCTTCTGTACAACTAGCTCATTAGCTTCTCTTGTCGTCACCTCGCTGCCATCAAAACACTAACACAAAACTTGCTGATAAAGCAAAATCCCGACGCATCGTATGAAAAAACACAACACGCAATACAAAAACAAGTACATTAACTGTCACCCTGCTAAACAAAATTGAAATAATAAAAAGAATTGTTGCAGTTATCACAGTAGTTCCAAAAGAAGCCTCAGTCCCTTTTGGTTTCAATTGTTGACAATCGTCTCTTCCTTCATCGGAACAGATTTTTATCACGGGCAACTCGTTGTGCTCCGTAATGCATAAATCAAAATCACTATTGTCACAGTGATAACCAGCTACACAAACCTTGCGACTCTCAAACTTGTTAAACATTCCTCTGTTAAAACTCTTATCCATTTTACACGTACACTCCCGACATTCCGATTTGTTATTACGTCTGTGGGGTCCATGAGTCTTTCATGTCATTGAATGTCTTGATAATTTCCTTTGTTTTTTTTGAGTTCGCGGACCAGCCCATTCCGAAAACACTCAGTGTTATTTTTTAGTGTGGGCCTACCGCGAACAGTGTGTGCATTTAACCCGGGATAACATAATTGAACAATATATTAACACGTTCCCCGAAACGCCGCGGCCAAATCTTACCCAAACTGCTTCTCACTGCTGCTTCGAAAAATTTCGGATCAAACGATATCCAAATCGTCCCTCATTGGATCATCCACTCGACCTAACAAAATCGACCAATCACAAAAAATGGACATAAAATAAAGAAAACAGCAAATTCAGATGACCTCTTAGGAAACATGCAATTAAAACTGTCTTTCCATGATTGGTGCATTTCGATCCTCTTAGGAAACGAAAGTTTTCTTCAGCGGGTTCAAAAGGTCATTGTTTATGATTTGTGATTGGTGGATTTCGATCCGTTTTTTGTGTTTCTGTGTTTCAAAGTTCGTTGCTTGCTTCATCCCTGGACTTCAGACTTCCAAATTTCGATGAGGCAAAAATACTGAAGATTCAGATTAACTTCAGAGATCGTAAAAGTGCGATTAAGTGCCGTGTGCAAGTAGAGCTTTCTTTCCGACATGCCTCGTACCTTGTACAAGACGTTCGCATGACAGACATTCGCTCGCTTCGCTTGTTTACTTGCCTTGTTTACGTTAGCACGTATTGCGTGCCTATTGCACATTTGCGTCAAAACAAGCCGTTTCCATTACTCTATTTGGGCCACGCCCAAATAATAAGAATTCGTAAAACCTCGCTATTTTGACTTTACAATTTGATGACGTCACTGTGAAAACCATCTATAATAAGTTGGAAAGAAGTAATTTAATTAATGAGCATGCGCTTCACCGTGAACCTGTCCCTTTAACTGTCTTGAGAACGTGGGTTTATGATACTACCGATAACCGCCTGAAAAATTTTCTTGAAACTAGATGGAATGTCTTTCTATTTAGATTGCTGTTGACCCGCTAATGTTGAAGTTTGTTCCTGCTCTTACATCAAGAGTAGCAGTAGTTTCTCAGGTAGGTGGTTCACAAAAAGAATACTATGGTGGGCGTTTCTTACGGACGGAAAAAATTCTTTACAAGGGTTTTACAATTCCTGGTAACTCAGTAGTTTGCATTGAGGCGCACATTAAATATGGACAGAGTAAAGCCCCCTGGAAACGGACGCAACATTGCTGGATGTTACATGGTGCGTCTGTTTGCACACCCTGTTTCATGTTGTTGCATGTTGTTGGGAGTTGCTGCAGAAAGTTTGAAACCGGTCAAACTTCTAGCTACATGCAAACGGACGCAACGACTCCCAACTATGTTGCGTCCGTTTGCACGGGGCTTAAGCAGAAAATCGGGGGAGAATTCTCCTCATACTGCCTGTCAAACATGACATATGAAGATATTAATTGATGTAATTAACGTTTGAGCATTTCATTTAATTTTTATTTTTATCTACAATTGAGGTCGTCGGAACCAATCTCAGTTTATTTTATTATTTAAGGAAAATTGTGCTGTCATAACGCTTTTCAACACACGTCAAATAAACGTTCGCGCGCGACTGAAAATTCATCTTCCCAATTCTCCCAGCCCGCGGAGAGTATCGTAAGGGTGAAGCCATAATTCATTTGAATTATCAACATTGTATTGGGTAGGGAGGGGGAGGGTTCACGATATTTAAACGGTAATACTAAAACGCATACAACTGCTGATATACTTTTAGCGACCTAGGGACTGTTGTCCATGATTTTACCTGCAGATGAAAGATGTATACAATCCTTCATTCCTTCTTTATGCTACTACATGACAAATTTCTGCAGTTTGGTTGGCTAAGAGCAGTGGTATTTCAGCTTAATTTGAAATACCTACATGTGAAAATTACAAACCTTTTGAGGGTAGTAGTATAAACAAATAATAGCGTGATTTGTACATGATATTTGGCATAAATACCACTCGTGAAATTTCAAAATTGTCTCAAATTTCACTCGCCTAAAGGCTCGTGAAATTACGTATAACAATTTCGAAATATCACTCGTGGTATTTATGTCAAATATAACTACAAATCATGCTATTACCTATACTAATCCTGGTTTTGTCTGTCTGTTATTTTCCTCAGAATGGTCAGTTCCAGCTTCACGAACCAGGAGGCCTGGTCACACAGTCATCAATGATGGTGTACCAAGTTAATACTCAAGGCACCTTATGTACAACATTTGACATTTCGGCGACTTGCCAGTCAATGGTGTTTGGCGACGCCGGAGGTATTGTATATTTATAACTATGATAAAATATATTTTGCCGGATTTTTGAAAATATTACCGCCAATTAGATATATTTCACCAGACCAAAAACCATCTCCAGAGTAGATATTATTAAAACTAAGAGTGTAACCAATGCTTTTTTCTCTTCTCCTCCTGTCTTCCTCCTTCACTTTTCCTTTTCCTTTGCTAGTGTGATTTTCGAGCTTATCAGGTGCAAAAAAGCCCTGCTGTGTGACCCTTTTTTCGCTTAAATGGCTGAACATTTCGCTGGGTTCGGTTTCAAAGAATCAGCTACAATCCTCGCCAAAAAAAATCCTTGAAACACCCAACCCATGCACTTCCCTTTCCTTCTGCAATGTTGAGATATGATTGCAAAGTTACGTGGCTACAACAACATTGCGGAAAAGAGGAGGTGGGGGGGGGGGGGGAGAGGGATAGCGACATTTTCCAAAGTGTTTCAAGCTTTTTGTCTGGGATTTTAGATGTTAAATGCAGTTAATTTTTTATTTTTTCATTGTTTTTGGGCATGGTAGTGTATGCTAATGAATTTAAAACAGAGGAAAAACAAAAATTAACTGAAGTAAAAAAAAATAATTGCAACATAGATATACAGTGAACTCTCGCCTTGTAAACACTTCGCTACCCCACTAATCGGGAAAACAACTTAATCCCCGGCATAAATGAAATACAGACGTTCGACTGAAATTAATGTTTTTTGTTTTCCAGGAAATACTCATCTTTGGGGAGAGACACAAGAAAAAGAAATAATCTACAATTTGTATTCAAGACCGACAGAGTTTGCTCATCCAGTAAGTTTCTGATCTTAAGCAATGCAAAACCACAGGAAATGTGAATTTGTTTTAGATACTCACGAGAAAACTGGTTCGTTAGAAGGTAGCTGAATGGCAATGCACGCATGAGGCATGCACCTCGCACGCCCGTCTTCCGTGGCATTTGTGAACTGTTAGGTGAAGATCACGAAGAAACACGCACGTAATAGCCCTGTCACGTTTGTCACGCACAAGCGTTTTGCCTTCCTCTTCTTCCTGCCGCCCTGTTGTGTAAACACACTATTAAGCAGCTAGGAGTATGGCTACTCTCCTCTCGATGGGATGCTAGTCAATCGTAAGGTTATGATTGATACCAGCAGTATGGCGCCGGTGCCCTTATGTACATCTTGGTGATGTCGGAACTGTTTCTCCAGACAATAAACTCACGCTCACGATAAAGAACAGAACTGTTTTAATACTTCTAACTCTCTCTCAGTAAAGATCACTAACTCTCGCCATGTGCTTTTTTGCTGATACATCACTTCTTGAAAACGACATCCTATAATATCCATAATCCTAGCTCCCAGGCCCCGACGACCTTAGGGTGCGCCTGACTAGTTTACAAATTTAAAAAACCGCGAACGAAACATTCTTAACATCCGAGTATCAACCTACGAATTCTCACAGTGAAGAGAGATATTGTGGAGCCAAGGTACTTGTTTACGGAAACACGCGACGGAAAGGCTTTAGCCTGTTCCAGGCGTACAACTTAACTCGCTCCCCACTTACCGCCGCGCTCTACTATCTGAACGCCTGGAACAGGCTAGTAAGGCTTGAACCCGGACCTCCTGATCTGAAGTTCGACTGTTCACCGCTCAACCACCACGCCTCCACAGTCGCTCTCGGAGTAGGTTCTTTAAATCAGATTGTGTTTTGCTATTTTTGTTTTTAGATTCCTCATCTTCCACCGCTGCCCATCGATGATTATACTGTTCCATTGTCTGCATTTCCTCTTCCGATGCCCAAGTAAGTAATCGACGTAATGAACACATTTCTTAGCGAGAATCTGCCCTAATGCCAATGGTTTGACTGACCTATTGTATTACTTGTCACTCCCGTCCCGTATCTGGATTTTTTCACATGATTCATCCGAGATTTCGACCAATGTGAAAACTGGCCCAGTGAGAAAAGGACCAGCAATAAATGTCCGTCTAGCCTAAGATTGATGTTCGTCTTATAGGGGGCTATGGACCAGCTATAGGTGTCCGTTTTATTGAGGTGTCTGTCTTATATAGGTGTCCATTAAGAGAGAGTCGGCCATATTAGTTATGATATTTGAGGAATCAAAGAGTAAGAAGTTTTAAGATTCAAATTTGTTTCCGCGTTTGGGAACTGAAATTATAGAAGGTAAACCTCTTTCTCCACAGTGGACCGCTTCTTTCAGACTGGCCAGCGGAAAACATGGCTGCTGGAGACAGGTAAATAGTTTTTTATGTCTTCCTGAATCAGAAATCTTGTAACGTAGTAAAAATTTGTTGTTACTATAGTCTCCCTCTAAGCCGTTTTTCCCTTGTCACGCAGAGGCGGGTTGCATGACGAGACAAATACGGCTGCGTGGGAGACTAGTGTTACTAGCAACGATAAGTAATTAAAATTTGAAATTCGCAGGCGTACTCCAGCAATTGAGCCTGAAATTCTCCGCACAATGGTCGTCAGGCATTTTATTGGTTATGCACCTAACCCTGGCAACAGGAAACGAAATCAGGTATGTTGATGCGTTCTCTTTTTAATCAGTAAGACGATGTGACGGCAGTAAAGCTGAAGATGGCGGCGCGCAGATCTAAAAACCCTGTTGACCAATTCCAGAGCGTCAAATTGGGAGCCGCTCGTCGGTTTCAGTCCCTTCCTCGGGGTTTCGCTTTCTCCTTGGTCGTTGCGTTGTCTTTGTTTAATCTGCCCTGTCTCGTCTCCAGGGCCTTCGTTACTCTTATCCAACGTAACGGTCAGGATCCCAGACCCTGTGCCGCCAGACTAACACATAAACTTTATTTTCACTCGAATTTTAGAGTAGCTTGCTAGCTAATATCTTTGAGCTGACCCCACTTGAAAATACGTTAAATACATTATGAATGATAATAAAATAATAACAATAATTAATAATAAGAAGAAACACACAAAAGAAAATTTAAGAAAAGGTAACGCCCTGTATCTTAAAGTTTGCAAAAAACTAGTACGAAAAAAGTCAGGCAGTGCAGTCCATTGTTTAGCTGAAAAGTAAGAAAAGGAGTTAAGACCATAGGTAGTTGTTTTAGGTTTACTAAGTGAAAGAATGTAGTTGCCGCGAAGATCATAGGAAGAGGACCGGAGTGAAAACATATTCTTCATAGAAGCGGGAAAATGAGGAAATTCTGAACGCGCTTGTTACATAACGAAGTAGAGTTGACTTTTGAAAGAAGAGTGGTGCATGGAGACGAGTAATTTCCAAGTGTAAATCCCTATTTTTTATTTACTGCTTTAAGCTTATCCGCGTCGCGCGCTCCACAAAAGTGTCAGACAGAGGAGCAATAAAAATGGGCTTTTGGGGTCTCGGTCAAGTCTTTATAATGACCCCCGCGTAAAGCCCTGCTCGTGCATTTGGTCTTCGGCCGAAGGTCTGTCGTCAGCCAATACCGAAGCATCCCCTACACAATTGCAAGAGGTCCTGAAATTTGTGGCTTTCAACAGTAAAAGTGCCTTTGTTTAAAGCTGGTGTTTCGTTGTTTTTAGGAACATTTTCATAGGTTAACAAGCAACTTGTCTATCTTTTAGGTAGCTTACCCTGTTATTAAAGATTCAGTAATGGTTTCTCCAGAAGAAGAAAATACTGTTCCAGATTCACCAATGAATCGAGGTACTGAAAGCGATTTGCTCTTATAAACCTGTCACTGGACCCCCCCCCCCCCCCCCCCCCGCTGAAACATGAGGCATCGGTGGGCCTTGACTCTTTGCGTTGCTCGAGCCGTGGGGGATTAATGTTATTCAATCCTTCTCTTGCCCGAGGGGATAGGGGTTTAGTAAATTTAGTCTGCAGCCGTAAGAGGGATAGGGGTCTGGGGCGAGAGCTGGAAAACGTGCTGGTTTTTTTGACAGAGTCCAAAACGATGGATGAACGAAAGGTACAGAGAGAAGCTGCTGGATTTATTTATTATAAATGCTCATTGGTTCTTTTATTACTAAGGTTATTATATATTTTCCTTTTGTTTTGGCAAAAATGTCTTGCAAATACCTGTAAATTCTCGTTGTCTTTGCTCTTTCTTAGTTGCTTGATAAAAATGCCGGAAAAATAAAGGTATAGAAAAAATATTCAATCACACATCTGAAGGTATGACTGTATCCCATGTACGTCGGGAATTATTCGTACATACGAACTACTTATCGTTATTCAGAGAGTCGATACTTTACTTTTTTTTTTTACTCTAATTTTAATGGTTATATGTTTGGTCTTGGAAAGATGAAAAGATTATTTATCCTTTGGTGGGGATTTAAATGCTTTTTATTTATGTATATATTTTCACAGACGAAGATCCTGGAAGTATTATACCAAAACACTACAGACGAGTGGAGATACGATACTCAAAACTAGGTTCGTTATATTTGAAATTCTTCTGCAAGTAAAGTTTTTTCCTTCTGTGATGCAGTTCTCAATTTGACTACAGTAGAAACCTGCGAGTAAGAACCTGTTAGGCTAAAATTTGCCAGTTAGGTCCCTTCTGTACAAGAACCTGTTCAGTTTAGCCTAAAATTGGAAATAGGTTCTTGTTTTCTAAAATCTTTAGAACTTCTGTACACTTGGGCAAATAATTAAGATAAGCCATCAGCACACAGGTGCCTTTATTACTCCAACTTCAATTGTAATGGTGCACTGGTTTTACTTAAGGAATGAGCTGAATGCCACTAATGACTCTTAGCTTCAATGTATTTTTTCGTCAGAAAATAAGAGCTTATTTAAGATCCTGCATAGCCTAAATTTGTGCTAATTGCGATTTACGTAAGAACCTGTTTAGCCTAACTTGGGAAAATTCATGTTCTTAGTCGTGGGTTTTTACCGTATTTTCCGTTAGGTGTGGAAGACTTTGATTTCAAGCATTATAACAGGACGTCATTTGCTGGTTTAGAGACTCATATTCCTAATGCTTACTGCAATGCAATGCTTCAGGTAAGTAAAGAATCGCTCTTTCCGGTTATAAGCCCTTGCGGATATATCCCCCTCCCCCGTTGTTAAGCCCTCATTAAATCCCTTACGCAGTTGCATAAGCCCAGGGGTTAATAAGCGAAAGTTTACGGTATTCCAAGAACTTCCCAAGACTACTCGTTTTAAAAGATCTGGAGTTTTGATGTTTACAATTATCACTAGGTTATTCACTAAAGAATCTGCTGGGAACCTTCTAGTAGCCCCTAATATTTTTAGCCATCACGGTACTCCTGTATTGGGATTTTATGGAGGGTTCTTTTCTTAAGTGCTTGGAGGGGAATAAGAAGTGAAGTTTTTAATTTCCAATGCTTTTGTAAATAGTTGTACCACAAACGTACCACCCTCTCTATAAATGTTTCATTAAACTCAGACCCCCTGAGACTTAAATAAAAAAAAAAACTAAATCTTTGCATTTTCTGTTTGCTGGTCTATTCTTCCCTAAATACTCTGAGTTCCTCTGTGTCCCTTTTTAAGAATTTTTGAAGAAGGACTTCTGCTATTCCTCTCTCTCTTTTTGTCATTTACGATACTACTGTGCCTATTTGTAGCTTTTTTACTTCGTGGAACCTTTGCGAGCTGGTTTCCAAAACCACTTGTGTCATCGTGAGTTCTGCTTGGCTTGTGAACTTGGCTTTTTGTTTCAAATGCTGGATATGTCATCTGGACAAACATGCCAGGTTTGTTGAACTACACTTGTCTGTTACATAACTAGACACACGCAAATGAATCCTGTGGGCTACTTGTTTTAAAGAATTTTATATTTCTTCTGTTTTCTCAATTTGTTTATGTGAACTAGTCAGTCAGAAGGACTGGATTTAGCTGTTCATATGTTTTGTGGATGAACAAGGCGCTGTAGTCTAGTGTCAAGGAAGAAATTAAATCTACTCAATGCTACGCGCAGGAAAACCTGACGAAGATTTAAACATGAGTCCGATGCCAGTTGCGGTAAAAGTTGGCCTTTTGATTTTGTACTCGCTACTGAGTAGAAACGATAAGGAACTGTTCGAACTAGCCATAATTTAATTTGTATACCATGACTACATTTTGATTAACGTTCCCCTTTTTCTAGACCTATTGATGGCCGTTGTATTTGTATGTGTTTTTTTGTTTTCCGCAGGCCAACAACTTTCTTCGCGCGTTTCGCACCATCCCTGAGGCCGCAGCACTGGGTTTGGTATTAAACGACGTCGACGAGTCGTTTGGAAATGCTAACTTCCCTCGCTTGATTCAGAGTTGGTTTAGATTCGTACTTCAACAAATGCATCAGGTAATGGCACTTTCCTTTCGTGGGCCCCGTCAACTTTGTTCGGTCATGCGTTTTTACATGAGGCGGCTTTTGCATTGTCAACGGCGACGGCAGCGCAAACATCACTGTTATCATCACTGTTAATTCTTTTTTCGTCAAACGCTGTCGCGTTTATGTCAATTCACTGAAATGCCAGATGTTTATAGGCGAATTTCCCTGGAGTTGATTTCTTGGCGACCACGCTCAGTTTTAGAAAGAGAGAGAAAAATTCGTCGTCGCTTGTTTACGTCTTCCAAAAAACGTGAAATTAGGCATTTTCACGTCGTAGTCGTGTAGTGACGGCAAAGAAATGTACAAAAGCTTGATGCACGTGCAAAGTTGTTGTTTTGCCAATCTAACGGGGAGGAAGATCCTAGTACCTGGAAGATCTTAGACGGCGGAACAATTTTTCGTTGGGTTTACATGCAGAAATTTCGGTCCGTACTGATAATTACCATGCAAGTAGAAAAGGAATTGAAGGTGGCGGCCAACAAAAACGAAAAAGGCAATTTTGGGCCCATCGGCTCTCTTTACTGGCGTCAATAAATACCTTTCAGCAAAATTATCAAAAATGTCATTTCTTAGTAACGCCATACGAAACGGTCGGCCTTGATTGCTGTGATTACTCACTGAACGACCCCCGTGTTGTCCCTAGGACTAGGATCTTCCTAGCGAAGGCAGTTACCATGGAGCGAGGATCTTCCTAGTACTAGGATCTTCCTACCCCTCAGCTAGGAAAATCCTAGCGCTAGGGACAAGTACAACCCTTTACATATAAACCGAGTACTGAAAACATATGACGCTAGGATGATCCAACCTCTAGGATCTTTCTGCCTCCATGTAAACAGCCCCTAAACCTATTGGATTTTTGACGTTCTAGTTGCCGTCATCGTGGTCGTTGCTCAAGCTCCCCAGGTTAGGGTGAAGGACTTCTTATTGATGATTTTATCGTAGCAAAGCTATGACATCCGAGATTACAAATAAGAAGAAAAATCAGTAGCTTAATATTTCGTCCTATTGTTCATACATGTTTTTGTGTACAAGTAAAACTCTTTGTCTTCTTAAGAATACGTATTTATTATTAAAGGTGGCTCGATACAGTTTTTCAGGGTCAATACCTCCCAAGTTTGAGCATAAACTACGTCGCCATAAACAAAGTTTTGGAAAAAACTGCCACCACAGTTGTATTAGATGAAGATGAAAATTTGTTTTTATTAGGTTTGCAACGGCATCGGAGTTGTCATAGCAACGAAATGACGCTATTACCTATTTTACTTGCAGCAGTATATCTCGGCACTGGGAACTGTTCTTCGAAAATCATTCACGAGAGCTTTTTCCTCCAATAGCAGCCTCGATGTTCGTGAAGTTTAAGCGAAATCTGTAAGAGCATTATCGAAATATTTTGGGATAAAGATTTTGTCGTTAGAAATACGGTAAAAAATGGACAATCGTGGTGTTCGGCTGTTATCTGTAGAAAACAAAGCGCTTTTGACATGCAATTTCACCTCATAGTAGTTTCAATCTTTTTAAAAACGTGTGTGAAAGATCAAGGAGATAGCTCCAGCCGATTGCTAGAAAGAAGGGTTTGATTAGTATGTATCGAGGCGCTCTTGCTAGCGGTTTTTTGAACATTTTGGTCTACTTTAACAAATTAGCGAATAATTTTTAAACCGCTGGATAGATTTTTTTTAAAATTTAAGATTCTTGAGATTAACCTTCCTTTTATGTAACCGTTTTAGTTTCAAGATTATTGATATATTGTAAGGCAGTAAAATAAGGGCTACAATTCGCTAATATTTTGGCAGAAAGTTTGTGTTTACAAGTGTGAGCCTCTCATTATTCAGGGTATTGTTTCCAAGTTTCATATTTTCGTGCACAACAATAGCTAGCATTTTTGCATATTTCAAATGCATTGTTAGCTACTGCTGTTCACGTGAAAATGAAACTTGGAGACAATGCCTTGAATAATTAGAGGCTTTCACTTGTAATGACGAAACTTTCTGCCAAAATATTAGCGAATTGTAGCCCTTATTTTAAAAACGATAAAAAAGTAACGAATTGTAGTCCTTATTTTACTGCGTTACAATATATCAATAATCTTGAAACTAAAAGGTCATATAAAAGGAAGGTTAATCTCAAGAATATTAAATTTTTAAAACAATCTATCGAGCGGTTTAAAAATTATTCGCTAATTTGTTAAAGTAGACCAAAATGTTTACAAAACCGCTAAAAAGAGCGCTTCGATACATAATAATCAAACCGTTCTTTCTAGCAATCGGCCGGAGCTATCTCCCATGATCTTTCACACACGCTTTTAAAAAGATTGAAACTACTATGAGATGAAGTTTCATGTCGAAAGCGCTTCATTGTCTACAGATAACGGCCAAACAACAATATTGTCCATTTTTTACTGTGTTTCTAACAAGAAAAACTTTATCCCAAAATGTCTCGATAACGCTGTTACAGATTTCGCTTAAACTTCACGAACATCGAGGCTGCTGTTGGAGGAAAAAGCTCCGTGAATGATTTTCGAAGAACAGTTCCCAGTGCCGAGATATACTGCTGCAAGTAAAATAGGTAATAGCGTCATTTCGTTGCTATGGCAACTCCGATGCCGTTGCAACCCTGATCAGAACAAATTTTCATCTTTATCTAATACAACTGTGGAGGCAATTTTTCCAAAACTTTGTTTTTGGCGACGTAGTTTATGCTCAAACTTGGGAGGTATTGACCCTGAAAAACTGTATCGAGCCACCTTAAACATTACGCCCAGTTTAGTCCTGATGCACTTATAGGGAGGTATTTTGTTTAAGCTGCTGACGAAGCAATTTGAAATAAGCAATTAACATGGCAAACTAAAATGGCAAATACCTGTAGTAGATATAAGAAAATAAAGTGTCAGTCATTCTTTCTTTTGTCAACTTCTCCTGATTTGTCTTTAGGATACCCTCGAACCACCAGCCTCTACAGAAAGAGAAAATGAAGACTCGAAAAATCCGTAAGTATTGACTTAATTCTAACTTATCAAGCACAAGAGGGTTCCGAAACATCGTAAAATGACTGAAAAATAAGAGTTGTTGCAAACTGGCCGAAACTTTGTTTCGATACCTGTCGAAAAGCTTCTCCCAATTTTTTATACCCTTTATCATAATGCTGAAAGCTTTCGTAGAAAAGTCAGAGGAAAACTGGAAAGCACGTAGCAGTTGTCCTTTGTTGTAGCAATTCTGTACATGTATTTTTGCATACCAAGAGGTGAAGAATAAGTAAAACCCAACTACATTTCTTTTTGACAAATGCATCCTGAAGACATATTGATCCTTGGGTCACACGTTGACTTGACTAAAAGGAAACTTTTTTCTTAGAAGCTTGCACTGTGATTGTTATTCCTAAGACGGAAGTATTTAGTGGGATTATGCTATTTTACATGCGTATTCTTGAGCCAGCTCTATGGAGTTGAAATGACCCCAAGTTTAGTCATGTAGCAAATTCCACAATTTAAGGTCAGCTGTTCTTTGCTTTATTTCAATTGTTTTTCGTTTATGTTCTTGTAACCAGAACTGATAAATCTCAACAGTCCTCAATAATCCAGCGTTTATTTGGCTCTGATGTTGAGCTTCTGAGTCGCTGTCGCTGTGGCAAAGAAACTAAAAGAGTGTCAAACACATTACTGTTCAATCTGGAATATCCTGAAATGCCTGAAGGTGAGATAAAGGTAGCATAAATTTTAGATAGATCCTTGTTCATATTCTTGGACGTCTCAGTAATTAATGATCCGATTATGGCTCATTCACACCAACTAAAGATGTTTAATTAAGGTAGGTTTTCAATAATGAAAAACTGTGACAGAAAACCAGAACACATTTTTTTACACATAATTCAAATGAACTTAAACACGTTACGTAACCTCACTAAATTTTCGATCGCAAAGAGTACTGTAGGCAGCTCTTATAAAGAAAGCAAATTTAAGCCGTGTTTAACTAAACAGCTTTTAAACATGTTTAACCCTGAATGGGGCTTTAGTTTGATGGAATCTGAAGACTTCAGGTGCATGACGGTTTACATGCTTAATTGAGTGTCCAAAGATGTAAAGTAAAGAAGTAAGGTTATTAAGAATGTTAGAGGAGGTTTTTTGTTCAATACAAGCCGTTTCCGATTGACTCTGTGGTTGCGTTCGACTGGGACATTGACTGATCCGGATTTAACGCGAAATCCGGAAACGGATTTCACCTCTTAGAAATCCGTTCTCAGGGTGGATTTCAATTAAGAAATCCAAATCCGGATTTCATGGATTTCCTTTTGACCGTTCGATTGGGAAATTCGAAAAAGGATTTTCAAAACTGTTCTCGTGAACAGCGGCCTTCTTTTTGCTAATTATGCATGCGCGTGACCGCTGTTCTTAAGGGCAGTTTTTCAAATCCTTTTTCGGATTTCCCAATCGAGTGGTTAAAAAGGAAATCCAAAAACGGATTTCTCAGGGCTGAAAATCCGTTTTTTAATTTCGCGCTAGATTGCAAATCCGGATTTTAAAATCTAAATCCAGATTTCCCAATCAAACGCACCCTATAGTTTCGGTTGACACGATCTTTGGATTGTGAAATCCTGTAAGGCGGGACCCCGTTTCACTTAACTCGTTACTGCACAGCTTCCTTGTAGGTGTTATAAAATCGTTTTACAAGTTTTCTCTCCTAAATTCTTATAGATAAAATACAACAACCGGTGAGCTTTGAGTCAGTACTTCTTGCGAGTATGTGTCGGGAGCAAAGCATGCAAGCTTGGTGTGAACAGTGCTCCAGATATCAACCTACCGTAAGTAAAGGAACATTGTGCATTAACTTTGGCTCCGTTCATAAGCGTACACGCCTAAACTTAATAACCTGAGATCACGCGCTGTTATCGTTTACGGCAACCAGGTAAGAGAGATAAAAGATGCTTTTAAAATACTTTGGCTTGAACTCAGGTTAAAATTTGAAAGCAGGGCTTGTTTTCTTGTTGTTGGGTTCTCTCCATGGACTCGAGAATTTGCGAGAATTCATCGCCACTGGATGTGCACCAGCCTTGCACCCAGTGGTCCTCGGATAGCGCGAACTGACCTGGGGAGGAAACTGGATGTGCACTATTTTGTTTTAAGAGCTACCCGAGGTCTACTAGTAGACGGGACTTGATGATGATTATTCTCTATATTGTTTATGTAACTGACCTTTACCTGCAATTCAGCTGTAAGCTGCAAAAGGTGTAACTGAACAAAGTCATCCATTCATTCACTACATTTTCAAAAAATACTTTCAACCGACGCAATTATATTTTAGCTTCATAACCGTTTCTTCCTTTTGTCATGCAGGTGCAAACTCGTAATGTGAAAAAGCTACCAGATATCCTGGCGTTCAACTGTGGCATGAAGCATGCAAAGGAAGTTGATGTCTGGAAAATGCAACAGCAGGTTAGGAGACGTGTACATATAAGCTTGCAACCCACATTGAGTCAGCTATTTTGCTCCCCTTATTTTCTGTGGAAGGGAACAGAATCAAGCGAAGACTAGAAAGGGACACATGAATGTCCACTTTCCCTGACTGTACTTCATTTAGACTCAGACAGACTTTTTGCGAGTGACCAACGTAACAGAAAAGCGAGTGACCCGTATATGGCGTGACAAGATTGCCTTAAAGTGAATTATGTAACGACCTCTCTCCTTAGTTACTAGATCCACCGCCCAAAGGTGAAGAGAAACCCACAGTGCAGTCATCAACTAAGGCTTGCAGATATGGTGATGCGTGCACAAGACCTGACTGCAAGTTTAGGCACGAGAGAGATGTTAACGAGGAAGGGTATGAACGGGTTTACTTTAAAGCAAGACTAGATGCACCCTCATAAACAATATCAACTCCTTGTGTTTGGCCACATGTAGATGGCAGGGATAAACTTGGCCTAAAACGTAAAATTCCTCGGCGAATTCAGGATGTAAAGGGATCTTTAGTTGAGGAGATATTCTTCAAATAGCAGTTGTCATTCGTTGAGTTGAATTTTTGTTGTTCCTTTCATGTTTGTAGGCAGACGTTCGGCTATTTTTTCTTCGCATTTTCCGTCATTTTCTCCTTCTCTACCAGAACAACGGAGCTGACGCAAACTTTTCCCCTTTTCGTTTTATTTTTTGGTGATAGCCTGAACTATTGATTTATTGATGCAAATGTCTTCTAAATTTGGTCAACGCTAGCCTGTTATCACGAATTTGCTAGGAGATTGCAGACAATGAAAACAGAAAATATTTTGAATTGACAATAATGTGTGATACCCTCTTGAAATAAACTGGATTGCTATCATTGAATTTTACCGATAAGAAAGCACTAAAAATTATCATGTCGCTGGCGCCTTAATTTTCAGTTTTGGTTTGGTCTCTTTCAGGCGAATTGACGTTCAGGAGGAAGAGGAAGTCAATGGATGGGTTCCACTCGCAATAAAAATATCAACAGACTCCAGTGGAATGCGTATTACCAAGATTGATGAGGTAAGGTTGCTGTTTTCTTGCTGTTATTTTATTCGCTTTCTTCATTGTACTTTGTACCACAAAAGTTAGCACGCTTATTTCCGTTGAAGGAGGTGAAGCCCTCTCCCGATTGCTAGATGATAAAATTCCTAACATTTGATAACTGACATTTCCCCGCAAAAATGACGTTGGTTCGCCTGCGTGCACTACTTCTAAAGCTCTCTATTCACGTGGTACAAAACCACCACGCTTAAGAGCAAGTGAAGCATTTGTAGAAGACAACAAAGGATATTATCATTTTAAATGATTTAAGCCATCTGATTGTCTGGTCCCAGTGCGTCCCTCCGTAGCCAGTATTGCGGTTTTGTACCACGTGAATGTCTAACTGTAAAGGGCCTATAAGTGCACTAGCGTTGGAATGTGCTCCAGCTATTCGCTCGCTTCACGATGGGGTACAGGAATCTGATTTACGTTTTGGTCTTTATTCTTCTTTGACTTATGCTAACAATCTTAATCTTCATCTTCTTACTCTTTTTCTCTACTCAATCCTTACTAAGCGGTTCAAGTATAGTAAAGATTTTTATCAGGTAGCCAAAAGCTGGACATGATTGGGTTAGTTGACCTTGGGAATTAAAACAAGGTTATCTCAGTGTGGGTAATATTTTGATATTATTGAACCTGGATGGTTTCGATCGGCAAGAAGCTCAGTACAAACCAATGAAAAACTAAAAGGTTGTTAACAAACCCAAACAGGAACTTGAACAATACTAATCAACCAAGGTCAGCTCTAACATCACAAACACGACCACCTATGAAAAAGCAATAACATCTGACAATGGCAAGCGAAGAATATTCCTAAAATGGCATTAAGTAAATTCGCGACCTAAGCATAAATTCAAGCACAAGTAAAAACAAAAGATCAAAACAGGAAAAAACCTATGTGGACAAAATCAGGACTAACCTTGACCCACTTAATGAAACAATAACGAAACTTAAAAGGAAATACAAATCTTAAAAATAACTTTCAAAATACTTCACAACACTAGGAAGCTTTTCGTCGAACACTTTTGCATTTTTACTCATGCCCCTTGAACTGCTAAGCGTCTTATTTTTAAGACTTAAAGTCTTATTATTTCAAATTGGGTTTGTCATATTGTTTGCGAATTGCTAAGGAATATGTCACACATAGGAAGGACTTTCAGGTTATGTAGACCTTTAGAGGTTGTTGAAGTAATTATTTGCACTCGCTAAAAAATCAATTTATCAATCAGTCTTTAAGAGATTCAGTGTAAAAGTTTGTTTTTTTAAGTGATCCAAATCACTTTTATAGATTTCCATTTCCATTTTCTTTTCTTCTTGAATTCTTGATGTGTTTAAGGACTTTTAAAATATTGTTGCTCAACCAACCGTGTTTTAAAGGCATTTAAATTTGTCGAACCTTCACCTCTAAACATTGCTTGCTGTAAGTTAACAATGCCAGGATGCCTTACAATCCAGGCTAGAGCAACGTTTACGTGTATCTACTTAAAACAGAAGCCTTACATGAACAGTAAAACATTGCAGTTCCATTGAGTCCTAAGTGAAACCTCGTTTAAATAACCGGCCCTAAGAGTTTTTGTGTCTTTGTCTTCAGAATCAAAAAGTAAAATGTTCAGAAAACGAAGTGGTGTACGATCTGTTAGCCACGGTGGGTCACGTGCAGGACCTCAAGTCTGGCGGAAACTTGGTGGCACATATTCACGTTGGTACAACATATCACAGCCGAAAGGAGGTATGTGTTTAGGGGCTGGACTAGCAGTGTTTGTTCCCTATGCTAGAAGCCGTATACCATGGAAAAGAGGCCTTTACTAGCAGGGAATTTGGACTACGGTACTACGCGTTGCACATATGTGAGCGGCGAATTTCAATTTTCCCTCCCTTAAATTGTGTAAGCGTTTACGAACCTTTCGCGGGACAAAACCATTCTAAATTGATGGGAGTACCGATCTCCTCCCTTTGTCGAGCAGACATATCGTGCTTCCCGTCTTTGGAACGGAAAGAACTAGCCCGGCCAAACAAATGGCGTCAATTTGTTAAATTTAGTAATTAGCTCAGGCGAACAGTGCTTCTCTTTTTCAGGGTGTCACCTGTAGTCAGTGGTACTTGTTCAACGATTTTGCCATCACCCCGATCTCGCCGGTAAGTTAACTTTGAAAGTAGTATTCAGTTTCTTATAATCACGCTATCATCAGTCGTTCTCTACAGTTGATTTCCTATTGTAATGTTTCAGAACGATGCTGTTCATTATTCGTTGGATTGGAAAATACCGTGTGCCGTTGTGTTTACACGCAGAGATATTAACAGCCGTCACGAAACCACAAGTAAGTGGATGGCCAATCGCCTTGTTTAGGTTTATTTCCCGCGGATTTTTATGTCAGAGGAAGAAATGAACTCTTCCACTGAGGAACATCAGTCTCCCGTCACCAGTGATTTTTTTGAAAAAAAAAAAACATTTAAAGAAAGTGGATTTGGACGGATTTGATGGATTTGGTGAATTAGCCCTTTTTCAAGTTTGACGCCCTCAGTAAAGTCTTTATCGTAGACACCTCCCTGAAAACGAATGCCGGAATAAGTTATTCTGACGTATTTAGAAATTTTACGGTGTTTGTTTGCTTCAGGCCTTTTTACACTTGCCTGATTAAGTTCGTTGCATGGCTGCCTGTTAACTCAGCTGAGAGACGCCGTTTTGGATTGCTAAAGTAGTGTTCTGCACATGAGCAGATGGTAAAACCTCTGACAAAGATTAAAATTCAATCGGGTTCATCATTTCCGTTTGAACGAAGCAAAAGACTCAATTCAAGTACCTCAATTCAAATTAGTTCGGATGAAGTACCATTCACCTTAGCGGCAGAGCCTTTCTTTTGCTTGCTTGATTTGGCGTACTCGAGAAACAATGCATAAATCGAGCAAGATCTCTGTTGAGCATGCGCGGCATGTTTTTAGGCTACAATTCCTTACCCAGGCCTACAATGGAGGCCAAAATTCTTAGGACAATTAACACGATCTGCCTTAATTTTCCCCCTTTCCCCCTCTCCCCCAAGCAATGTTGTAGTTTGTGCACCCCTGTACACTTTGCCGTGTCTTAAAAGTGTTTGTTCATCCCGACATTGTTTGGAGGGGGGAGGGGAGGGCCAGTCGCGGTGTCCAAGTGGTTAGAGAAGTGCATATTATGCTACATCTGAATATTTGATAAGTTAAGGATGTGGAAGGATGGTTTTCCATAACCGTTCCAAGAATTTTTGTCCTCCATTGTAGTAGCCGAGCGCTTGGCTCGGCGGGCTCAGTTCGGACCATCGGTTTATCAACAAACGGGTTCTTACACACGAAAAAAGGCGTGACTTCAAAGGCTTGTCGCGATTCAGGTAAAGCCTCATTTTCTTCTCCTTGATCAAAAAGAAAACGAGAGGAGGCTTTGCTCGTAGGGTGGTACCGTTGAACTTAGTGCTTGGAAATGTGTTATCCCACTTAACCCGTTCCCTGCCAAATTTCGCCAAAAGCAAAATTTGTCCAAATTTCATTTTGTAAAATTTTGGAAAACAAAAAGCACCATGTATAAGTACAGGCAGAGAGCTTTCATTTGAATGGTCACTTCATAGGATTTCGTCCGCAGACTCAAAAGTTAGAGTCGCCTAACAAAACTCCATCAAACAATCTGACGGTGAAAGGGATTTCTTTACAAAAGAGCGTAGTAGCTGATGCTCACGAGTGCTTTTTCTTAACTAGTCAACCTGAGAATTGATGACGGTGTACTTTACCAAGACGTGTCTCTGGTTAGGAGGGGAAGTGTGTCCCGGGAATTTACTCCTCTGGGCGTTGACGAGCTTCCTAACGAAGGAGATCTCGTAGGACTAGACGCTGAGTTCGTAACTTTGAATCAGGTGGGAAGTATGATCTACTGATCTTGCCTTGGCGTTTCTATTGTGTATTATTTTGCTCCAAAATAACCCTCATAAAGTGGCCAACCTTGTACTCATCAGAGCGTGTGTTTCAGGCTACCTCAGCTGTCCGCTACAGAGGTTGCAAGTGGTGTAGGTTCTAAGGGAGTAATGAAAGATCTCACATACTAAAACACTTCTCGTCACATTTGTTTAGTTTGGAGGTTTTTCTCCAGTTGATTTAGTTTTTTCACCTACCTCAAAACCCACGTAGGAACGTAACGATCCGACATACGGCGACGCCAACGAAATCATGTCCAAAATCATCGCTTCGCAAGCTTTTTCGCGATTATCCCAAGTGGCCCAATTTCTTCAGAGAAGAAAAATTTGTTTGGAACTGAATAAGGAGAAGGGACCTCGTCCAAGTTCAGGCAGAGATGGTAACATTTATCGCTTTACCCGGTTCCCGTTCTCAAGTAAACTGTTAATTAAGTCATTTCACGACGTAGCTGTCCAGGGACGGCAAAGAAATTTGCAAAAGGAAGTGTGATGCTCGTACAGATGAGTTGATTTGCTTCCGAGCTACTGTGTCTTAGGCGTTCGCGTTGCTGTCGCCGCCGTAGTTTCGTAAGGTACCTATCTCCCAGTGCCCGCGGCCTTCGAAACTATGTCAATTTACTGATCGATTTATTGACTTATCTTGTATTTAGTTAGAACAATCTGACACTTTTTTATTTTATTTTCGCTAGGAGGAAGCTGAGATCAGGAGCGATGGTACGCGGTCTACAATAAAACCCAGTCAAATGAGCGTGGCACGAGTTACTGTTGTCCGTGGGTAAGATAACAGCTGGATTAAGGAATACCGTAAACTGCCGCATTTAAGCCACTCCCCCCCGGCCTCCCAACCCTATAAGCCCCCCAGTTATAGACCCATCTACCCGTAAACAAAAGCACCCCCCGCTCCCCTTGGATCTAGGCAACCATCTAGCTTTTCTCGCATTCCATTTGTTATGACGTTTTGAAGCTTGACTTAAGACCAGTAAATGCAAAGCATATTTTGAGCAGCACTGCTATAGCTTGCACCTTGTCTATTCCGGTTATAAGCCCCATTGGATATAAGCTCCTCCGTTTATAAGCCGCCCTAAAACCCCTTAGGAAGATGTGCAAGCCTACTGCTTATAAACTGCAGTTTAAGGTATTTTTATGTATAATATGGTATTTTTCGTATCCTGCATTTCGTGCTTTACCTCAGCTGTTTTTGAAACGGATTCGAATTTAAAAACCTTACTTTTTGGCGTTGTTATTTTATAGTGAAGGACCGTTGGCCGGTGTACCATTTATAGATGATTACATTTCAACTACAGAACAAGTAAGTGAGATCTGTGAAACTTACTCGTTACGCCGGCCTACAGCCTAATGTATGATTAAAATCGTAAGACTTGTTGCCTCTGCAAATATCTATCTCAAGATACTTGGTAATTATAATGCCCATAGTGTTATTTGTGAAGTTTTTTAGGAGGAGCCATCTACTATACCAGCACTGTTACTGACAGGCCATATTGTTAAGGAGCCGTTACTTATATTAGAATATTAGTGAGGTTAATCGTCCATTTTGCTAAAAATCTAATTGTATTATTTTCAAAACAATGCAAACCTCGCCCTTGAATGTAAATGCGGAAACCTAAAAGAGCCAATATTCCGGACCCGAAAAGCTGCCGCAGAGAAACAGGCCTTTTGCTCAGAGACTTTTGGCGGGAAACGGTTTTTATTGTTAGATGTCATGTGACTTTGAAGGGACCAAAACGATAGCGCGCTTTTGGGGAAAACATTCCTGCTACTGTAAAACACTGTTTAATACCAGTACGTCATCTTTTCACTTATTTTACCCTCTAAACAGGTACTCTTTTTTTCTTAGTCTGTCGAACAAAAAACATTTAGATTTGGGCGCGAGACTGGAGATGCCTCTTCTCGCGTGTCGTGGCTTCGTCGCCGCTTGCGTGTGACGTGTGTCACTTCACTAACTTGAAGGAGGATAGTAAATTGTTCGTGGTCGTTTGACAATCACAGTGCATTGTATGCATATGTTTTCTTGCTGCCGTTTCTTTGTTCCAGGTCGTTGATTATCTTACGAAGTTTTCCGGCATAAAACCGGGCGACTTAGACGCCACAATGTCATCCAAGCATCTCACAACTCTCAAAACAACTTATCGCAAACTACGAGCATTAGTAGCCAGGAAAGTGAAGTTTGTTGGTCACGGGCTGAAGAAGGATTTCAGAGTCATAAATATTCTGGTAGGTGGCCTGCTTTTGTTGCTTAAACGGAATCCGATAGATTATCACACTTCATAAAGAGCTAAGCTTCCGTACTTTTGTAGACTGAATTAAAAGCTATGATAGAATAACCACTTTTCCAGGTTGTTTGATGGGTTCTTTTAAAAATGTGATGTGATGCGTAGTTACTCGTTAAGGTGTCAAAGAAGCAATCATTTGGAGGTTTAAAATCATAATTGGCAAGAAAATCTAGGACACCTGGCCCACAATTTTGAAAGCAAAGCGTTGGCTTTGTAAGGGTCCTGTACACTGCCTTCATGATTTCTGGAAAAAATCTTTGGACTTTTCGTTCCTTTTAAGTGTGTCTCTGGTCCTTTTGAAAGAATTGCTCTCATTTGGGCCTGTTCAAATTGATTTTGTTGTCCTGCACAAGTTCTTCATCAATCTCACGTAAGAGCGATGACGTCACAATCAATCCAAGGATCTTTACCCCCCGCTTTTTCTAAGAATTACTCGTAGTGACGAAATAATTTCTCGATTGAGTGACGGCTCTAAGTGTAACACGTTTTCTCTATTTTTTTTTTTGATAGGTACCAAAAGAACAGGTATTCGACACAGTAGAACTATTTCATCTTCCCCGTCAAAGATACATTTCTCTCCGATTTCTAGCGTGGTATTTCTTAGGTAACCTTTTTCTTTTCCTGTACTTTGGTCTTCCGTAGCTCTTCTTTTCACCAATTACACATACAGTGCAACCTCGGTATTACGAACCCCTCCCTTTACATAACAAACAGTCCGGAATAACGAAGGGTGTTTTTCGCACAGCCGTGGTTATTGTAAAATATTTGGCAACATACCACTCCTTCCCCTCCGCATAGAATAAACATTTTCCAGTTCGAGGTTCAACTGTATGCAGTGTGGTGCGTAATTATATTGATTGATTACGGAACTGAATTGCATTCTCGTTCCCAGAGCCCCCTGTCCCTCTCAGCCAGCAGGGGCCTCCGCGCGAGGACATAAACTGAATAACTAAGACGTAAACCTTTCTATTGAATAATTCAATTTAACCTTTTTTATTGTCATTTTAGGTTTAACCATCCAGTCAGAAACTCACGACAGTACTGAAGATGCAAACACAGCTTTACAACTTTATAGGAAATACGAAGAGTTAAATACCAAAGGCGAATTTCGAAAGGTTTTAAGACAGCTTTATGAGGATGGCAGAAAGAGTGGATGGAAAGTAGGGGAGCCGACTTCCACAGAGTGAGGAGACTTACTTAAGAACGTGCTCCAAAGTATCGTAAGCGTTCGATCGCGGTCACATAATCGTCGCCCAAAGTACAAAGAAATGTGGAAACCGTCTCCACAAGATCTCATCAAGGATATGTTATTTGTAGAGCTTTGCCTCTCTATCATTACAGTATTTACTGAAACGTTTTCCAGCATAGCTTAAAGGAACGACGTAAGTTTCAACGTGTTTCAGAGTGCTTAGAAAGATGGATGCCCTTAACACACGCGTACAGCATAACTTTGCCTGTCTTTCTCTTTATCATTAAAAGAACGTTTTCGTAACTCGAAAAACACGTACATGTGGTTTTAGAATTTGGCATTGCGGGTACGCGAGCTAAAACAAACATTCGCGCGCCCGATAAAAGGTCTGCAATACATGCTAAGTATAAATCAAAACCAACCTCTCTGAGCTGACAACTCGTTAACTAGACTCTGCTTTCTACTTGTAAAAATGTAAAGTGCCTGGGAATAAAGGCAATTGTCAATGTTGATAAAGTCTTGGTTTTTACAAGTTTTCCTTCCTTGCCACACAAGGTAGAAATGCCTTGCATGCGTGAAGACCAGTTTTGAAAAAAATAAAATTAAAATTTTAAACAACCTTTAGGCACTAATGAAATACTTTATATGTAGCAATTACACAATCAAAACCTTTTTCTGAAAAAATCAAGTATGAGATGAAACAGGGATGGGTAACAACACCTGAAACCTTTTAGTTGGTCATTTTGACGCTGGTGTCGACGATCGCTCTTCCTCCTGCTAAGCTGATGGGATCGTTATTAAGTACGAGCAAAGTTTGGTAGAGGATTTGCGGAGCCGTGCGGAGAATGGGAAGGAGACGCTTTGAAAGAGTGTTTTCAGATGATGTCACGGCGGCCATATTGGTGTTCCAAAACAATGAAACGGCGGCCATGTTGGTGTACCCAGGAAATCCTCTGGGAGTTGAATTCTTTTCTCATGTAAATGATTTTTTTTGCTCCAATAAATTAACATAGATGCTGGCCACGTGAGTGAAAACGCTCTATATGGTTAAATTCGACAAACACGAAGCGCAAACCCGAGGCGCTAGAGCTTTATTCAAATTCTTTTTAGCTACATTTCTCGTCCACTTGAGGTCATGGTTCGATGTTTGGATCTAAATTGACGTTCTCAAGGAAGGAAAATCTCCGGCCTATCCTCAAGCAAAGATTTGTAGCAACCTTTTTCTTCGGCCGAGTTTTCCGTTGCCTTCTTAGTAGGTGAGAAGCCCAAACGGTGAAACATTGTTAGAATGGCGTATATAGGGCAGGAAACAGTAAGAAAACAGCACAGATACACCTCTTTATGAGGTACGTATATGTTTTGCTTCAATTTTATCCTTTGTTTCAAGCTCATTATAATACACTACCATACCCCAAAACAAAGTGAAATAAAGTTTAAACTAAGGAAAACCATAGCAGTGGTTTCTACTCATGACGCTAAATGGAGAAACCACTGCTTGCAGGGTAATTTCTTTAAAAGTCCCTTAGAGGCATTGTCACGAACAAATTATTTTAGGAACGATCTTTTTAAAAATACTAAAATAAATTGTATTAGAAAGCCTTTCTCATTCAAGTATTACATCTAGATTACCCAAGGAATTTTGAAAGAAAGAATAAGAGTTAAATGCAAAAGGCGAGTTTCGAAAGACGGCAGAAACAGGACGACAAAAATAGCGAATGGAAAGTAGAGGAGATAGCCCGCGTAGCTGGCGGGATTTGCGAGCGAGTGCCGTGGTTTTTGGCGGCGCTCGCAAAAATCCCTTCCCCTCAGGCTATAGAGGAGAACACCACAGAGTGAAGATACTTATTTAAAAGCATAGTCCAAGTAATTTTAAAAGTTTTCAGGTGAGATTTGAATCGGCTGCTTGGGTTGCCTGTGAATGGCCACATTTCCCGAAATCCCAAGCGGTCATTGTTATCATAAGAATGCGTGACGCACCGAGCAACGCTGTTATTGCTTCTGAGATGAGACACACTAAGAAAGTTTTTGTGCCTCTCAGAACAGTATCATGGCTTATTTTTGTTTTTCCTCTTTTATTATTGCAGTGTTCACTAGGTGAGTGAGTCAATCTGTTTTCGAAGTTCCGTTTCACGGGTTTCACTTCCGAAAATGGCGTCGTACAATTTAAGACTCAATTTCCTGTTCTCTTGCTTTGCAGGACAGCAAAAGGTTCACGTCTTTACAGCAACAGACTTCATGCTTTTTGATACCAACGATCTCCTTTATTTTGAGGTTTTACGGCCGAAAAATATTAGTTACATCTACAAAGTTAGGCCTGCAAAAGACTTCGGTGGCAAATTTGTAAGTAAGCTACAGTAAGTTGCTGTACCGTTGTAGCTCAAATTTCAAGCCTACAGGCTTGACAGCTGTTACAGCTGAGTACATTAAGCTAGTTTTTATCGAGACAATTTATATGGATGGTCCAATCCTCTCCATAAGTGTGTATTACTGAAAAAGTTGCATTGATATTTATGTCATGTTTTTCAATTCGTGGTAAAACAATTGTCCTTAAAAAGTCTTACTTCCGGTAAGTCTTAAAGTTACATAAGACTTTGTGAACATATAATCTAAAATTTTGTAGTTTTTAGCGAAGGAAATAACATTTATTAATAATGTTAGCTTTACTTGTATCTCGTATTTTGTGTGATTAAATTCAAAATTAGTGCTGACAGGGTTTATTAATAATAAGGTACTGAGTGTACAGATTTTTAAAATGACGTGTCCTTATGGAAATCAGCTAGAGCAGCCATCAATCGAAACACTGTTTGCTTGATATGTTTAGCGTATTTGAATAACAATGATTTCATGGTGGTAAGTGATAAAGAAAACATAATGAACATAAATCTGTTTTGCATGTTCACCACAGAATTAATACCATTTCACATAGTTACCATTTCATCTGGAGAATAATAATCTATAAGAAACCTATTGCAAGGTCGTGGTAATAACTGTTCCAATTTATTATCTTCACCGAAAAACATGTTATTTTGATTATGACAGTTTATTTTTATTAAAGCCTACCCTGCTCCAGAGGTCCATTCTCAAAATACCTAATTAATGTGAAATAAACCGTGCTTACAGTTTGATAAGGCTTCCGAGTCAGACCTCTGGTCACACAAGCAAGCAACCTCATTTCCATGCAAGAAATCAGTTCAGAATCTGAACTGGGTCGCCGATTGGTTACTCCCACATCTGCAGGGAATTAACGCTGTAACAGTGAACTTGATTGGCTGTATCGAAAAACTTCACTGCATGATATTAAAAACCAGTTGCAATTGTGATGTTCACAACAAACAATATAATCCTGAGTTGTAATTCGGAGTTCCGCTTTCATGTTTCCTTTTGGAAGTGTGGCTAAGCAATCTCTGGCTAAACTTTGAAATAATTTAAGCCAACGTCCGACAACTGAATCAACGTTGCTCGAGGAAGAAGCTTTGTTTGAATTTTTCCTACTAAAAGGACGTACTTTGAATGAATGTGATGATTTCCTACTTTGCTTTGTCTTGCTGGGCTCAGTTCTGCATTCTCACGGATAGTACCCTAGATGCAAAAGGTTTTTCCTTTTTTCCTAATTCCTGATAGTTCGTGGCGCAGTTTATTTTCTAAATAAATGCAGCAGAATGATGTTTTGTTTGCATAGCCGTTTTGCAATTGCCTGGCAATATTCAGTTTGACCTGGTACAGTAATACAAGTGTCGCAGACCGGAAATCCTTTTTATCTTGTTTACTTCTAAAAACATACAGAGTGTGTACTTCTCAGCTGACTTTTGTCCTTTTTATATACTTGCAACTTGAAGTGTATTTTTTTTGGAAAAGAATTTGTGACAATTTTATTTTTAATAGCACTTTCCTTTCTAAGTAAGCTTTCGCGCAATTCTTTTTTCATGCATCGCGGAGGTAGAGTCTCGTATGATCAAATCTCAGCTGTCAGCGCCAATGAAAACAAACATGCACATCAACTCCAAACCGGTTTGATATGATCCTAAAATTGCATGGAAACGAGACTTGTAGCTCCTGTGACCTAAGGTTATGTTTTTCTCTTGGCACTTCACGCCAAAATGAGACTCGTAGCTCCTGTGACCAAAGGTTATTTTTTTCTTTCAGCGCTTTGCGCTTCGTTGTCGCTTAATGCCTCAATATCAGTAAGAAAAAAATATCTTCTGGAACACAGGGTATTTTAAGCCAGGTCATTGGATTAAATTATTTTTTTTGTCAGGTAGCTTGCAATACTTCTTTTAAATGCTTGAAATTGGTTTATGTCTGCTTTAATAAACATTTCTGATTTTTGATGTTTCATTTCTCATATAATTATCATATCCAAGTTTCAATTGTTTAATTGTTCAGTGTTATCAGCTGAAGCTGTTTTAAAAATAAAATCATGGTCATGCTGGCCTCTAAATGTCTATAGCTGATAAATTATGTGCATTAGTTAACAAAATAATAATATACATAGGTTCAAAATATGTCCAACGTGTTGTATCGTGAAATTCTTAGTAGGCAGTTCAATGTGGTATTTATTAAGTGCAAGGAAGCTTGTACCCAATAGACCTCTTTAGATAGAGTTAAGATACAGTGTAGATACAGTTAATCATAGTATATTACTGAAGAAGCTTGAAAAATTTGGAATAAGAGGTGTGCCCCTAGAATGGTTTCACAGCTATTTGAGTAACAGAACTCAGTATGCACAGATAGGTTGAACATTAAATCTGCTTCATTAACAATTAGATGTGGCATATCACAAGGATCAACACTTGGTCCACTTCTCTTTCTTCTTTACATAATGATAGCAATATATTTTACTCCTCAAAGAAATTAGAAAAGACATCAAATATCAGACATAAGACATCAGAAAAAAGACATCAGACAAGACAAGACATCAGACATTTTACATCAGACTTCAGATATCAGACATAAGACATCAGACAAAACACATCAGACAAGACAAAAGACATCATACATCAAACATCTGATGTCAGATGTCTGATTTCAAACAAAAGACATCAGACAAGACTTCATACATCAGTTATCAGACGTCTGATGTCAGACAAAAGACAGGACAGGACATAAGACATTATACATACAACATTTTACATCTGATGTCAGACGTCTGATATTTGTTGTCTGATGTCAGGTGTCTGATATCAGATGTCTGATGTTTGTTGCCTGATGTCTCATGTCAGACGTCTGATTTTTGTTTTCTGATGTCAGACACCTGATGTTTGTTGTATGATATCAGACGTCTGATGCCTCATGTCAGATGCCTGATGTTTGTTGTCTGATGTCAGACGTCTGATGTTCGTTTTCTGTTGTTAGACGTCTGATGTTTGTTTTCTTTTGTCAGACATCTGATGTTTGTTGTCTGATGTCAGGCATCTTATATCAGACGTCTGATGTTTGTTGTCTGATGTGAGATGTCTGATATCAGATGTCTGATGTCAGACGTCTGATGTTTGTTGTATATCAGACGTCTGATGCCTCATGTCAGATGCCTGATGTTTGTTGTCTGATGTCAGTCGTCTGATATCAGATGTTGTCTTATGTCAGATGTCTGATGGCAGATGTCTGATATTTGTTGTCTTTTGTCAGACGTCTGATTTTGTTGTCTGATGTCAGGCATCTGATATCAGACGTCTGATGTTTGTTGTCTGTTGTGAGATGTCTGATGCCTGATGTCAGACTTCTGATGTTTGTTTGTGAGGCGTCTGATATCAGACGTCTGATGTTTGTTGTCTCATGTCTCATGTCAAACGTCTGATTTTTTTTGTTGATGTCAGACATCTGATGTCTCGTGTCAGACATGATTCTGATGTTTGTTATATGGTATCAGATGTCAGACGACTGATGTCGGACATCTGATATCAGACATCTGATGCCTCATGTCAGACGTCTGATGTTTGTTGTCTGATATTATTCCTATTAAAACTAAAAATAACAACTTTTATCAGCCAAATCAGGAACAAAGGCAACAATATTTTAAACTTGCTCTCTGAACTTTTTTTTACCAGTATCTAATATACACTCCCACAGTGCATGATATGCAACCCATGATAATTATTATAGAATACATGCTAGAACAAATTATTGTAAATTTTTCATTTAATTTTTTTGCCTCTAAGCTCTGTGAGTCAATACCTATGTCCCTAAAATTGTCACCTCCTAATTCTTTTAGAGCGTACTACGAACTCCATTTGTTAAGTGAACAAAAATGGAATAATGGGACCGCTGAGTTTTTGCAGCTAATTCTTCCCTGTTGCAATAACTCATTGTTGATTTTTCCAGTATAAGTAAGGTTACAATATTCTGCTGTGGAACCTTGATCCAATGATGTACCAAGGGACTGGCAAAATTTGTTCACTAAAATGTGATTTTGTTATATCGAGGTTGTTATCCAAATATTTTACGACAAATTTGTTGGTTTTACCAAGGACTTTGTTATATAGACCTTCATTACTTTGAGGTTTCACATAGATTTAACATAGTGCATAATAATGTTAACATTGTTTTTGTTTGGTTTTTCTTTTTTCATTAAGGAATTCCAATCAGACGCAGTGACAGTTAATCTCGTTGCTGCAGATCCTCCAGATGCATGTTATTCTGTTATTAATGGTGAGGCCTTGCAGAAATCAATAGCCTTGGTTGAAAGAGGGTGAGTGCTTAACTACAGTGTACATATTTCCTAGAATGATTGCTACATCGTTCTCCAAATAGTGCATTTTCTTTGCTCTAGTTTTCTCCACACATTCACACCAAAACCACCCATAACTGCCAGTGTGAAACCATAAAGTTTATACTAATGTCTCTAATGAACCACTTGTGAGGTCATCAATTTTACAGGCCTCTACCTTGTGATTGGGAAAGAGATCTTGTGTTAAAACAATACCCAGATGAGTACAAATTAATTCATTTAACAGGTCAGAGATAAATGCTTGATAATGGTGTGTGCGTGACAGGAATAAACCAGTAATATAATCTCGTCCCACTTAACCCACCTGACATACTGCCCTCCTTTCATTGGGGGGCCTTGGGGTTTTTGTGAAAACTTCTTCCATGGAAATAAAACCTAGTAAATTTATGCTCCTCATAAGAAAAAAGGGACATGAAGTGGGGAACAGAGAAAGTGAAAGGTAAAAGTTTATAGCAGGCAATGTAGTGATGTTCATTTACATGTATGTACACCTGTAAGACTGTGTGTCATTCAGCTGTGTGAGCCTTTCTTTTCTAACAAATGGTGAAACATTTTTCTTTCTCTCTGTTTAGAGGCTGTTCTTTTGTTTCCAAAGTTAAGACAGTTGAAAATCATGGTGCCATTGCTGTGTTTATAGCTGATAACCATCATGATAATGGGGAAGGCTTAGTAGACATGGTTCATGATGGCACTGAAAGAGATGTGCACATTCCTGCAGGATTCATGCTGGGCTCAGATGGGTGAGTGTTTGTGAGATGGGGTGACTCTTTGAATAGCTAATAGAATAAGTATGATGCTACACTACAAAAGTTATGATCAGCACTATCTAAATCAAAAATTGGATATTGGATAAATCTAAGTAGTATTTTTGTTATTTTTATAAGAATGTTGCAAATGACATGTTGCTAACAAGACAGTTCAGATGCATCCAACTTCTTACCTGTAGAAAGTGTTGATCATAACTTTTGTAGTGTAGCATCAAACCTGTTAATGAATACTATTTTAAGCAGAAGCTCAGTCATTTCCTCTTCGCAAAATGTATGCATCTTTAATCATTTTCTCCAACTCCGTCAAAACAGCTGAGCCATTGAGCCTTTTGCTGAGTCAATGTTCTCAATAGTACACTAGGTAACAGGTATTATTGGTGTCATTTGTACAGTTACTGTACAGTTGGTTTTGGAGTAGAGTGGGAAAAACTGGAGTACTTGGAAAAAACCTCTCTGAGCAAGGGAGACCAACAACCAATTCAACCCACATATGGCGTCGAAGCTGGGATTTGAACCAGGGCCACATTGGTGAGGGGGATGTAAGGGTTTTTGGCGATGCGGTTTTGCTCCATTTTTGGTGCGGTTTGGGGGAATGTTTATTTTAAGTTGTGGTATTGCAGTTTTACAAAACCAAGCGGTTTGCAGTATTCAGAAATTTTCAGGTAATTTCAATGCGGTTTGCGGTTTTCCTATGTCATTGTGTGCGGTGTTTATACCTATTTCTGTGCGGTTTTGCGGTATTCATACGCCCCTTACACCCCCCTCATTGGTGGAGGCGAGTACTCTCACCGTGGCAAAATTTATGATATGCGAAGGGCAAAAACAGTCCCCAGGTGAACCCTGTATATTTTACCACTGAGAGGTCAAACGATAGTTTCTGCTTCAAATGCTGTCTAAGACATCATTGAGTGTTCTACCAGTCAATGCTCACATGCATGCCTCACAATATTGGACAACTTTCGGGATGAGAATTTAATGTTCATTTTTATCCCTTTCCTACCCTAGGTATCACATAAAACGTGGAATCGAGGGAGCTGGGATGCAAGGAGCAGTCATATCAATACCACTGAATGTCACAACCAATCCGAGTTTGTATGCTCGACAGCCTCCTTGGTCAAGCTGGTGACACAAATCAAGAAAATTTGGATTTATATTGAAAAATTGATTTAGTGGTTACTTTAGAATGGACACAGTAGAAGAGAGTCACTATTTTTTCTGAGAAGTGTTTTATACAGCCTGGTTTCACAAAAGAAGAAATGAGTGATAAATTGATTGAGATGCACGTTTGTTTTAGGTGGCAATCTGACTTTCTGCCATGGAAGATTGTAGTGTTAATTTTTTTTTTCAAAGTTTCAACCTCGTTTCCAGGGTATCTATTCTTATTACAAAGAGTCGAGATCTGGAGATGAGGTCGCAAAGGTGTTTTTATTGCTGCAGGCGTTGCTTATAGAATCTGTGGTAAGAACACTTAGTTATGGAAACTTATCGCTGAATCATAATTCAAAATAGCTTATCTGACTTAAAGCAGAAGTCAAAATAATTTAGTGCTTTTTTACTAGCGACGTATTATTCATAAGTTATTTGATAATTTATATTCCACGTATATTATGTCAAAGACTTTGAGAAAGTGTTATGGTCAGGTATTTTCAGAAAAATTGAGATTTTTACAATAAAGTTTTTGTCATTTGGAATTTACTAAAATAGACCGCTTGAGGCAAAGTTTTGTTGTTTAAAGCACGTGTAAACCAAACGAAGCTTATTTGTGGGTTTACACCGGTGTTCTTCAATAAGTGTTTCCTTGTGGTTTTCTTACCAAGGAAAAATGTTTGTAATAAAGTTATTCCATTTACATGAGCAAGGATAACACTTTCGTTTAAGTGAGGCTTAACTCGAGAATTTGTAAGAGCAACTCTGAATTTAACGTGCTCGTTGGCGATTCTTTTTGCCTGACATACTTAAACTTAAAATTGTGAACTGTAAATGATATTTTCTTTCCTTGCATTTAATGTATATATATATTTTCTATATAGTTTTTATGTAGCGTCAGCTCGAAGATATTAGCTTGTTAGCTACTCTAAAATTCGAGTTTAAATAAAGTTTTATGTTATGTTATGTTATTCCATAGAGCAGATCCTCCGTACCTAATTGAAAGCTGGATAAATTGCGAGTTAAAGCGTGGTATAACAGCGTTGCCTTATGTGTTGACGGTTATCTTGATGTTTTCCTATTGAAAATGCTATAGTAAAAAAGCAGGTATAAAAGTGATTGGATATTCTTGATGTAATGAGTAATGTTCAGAACCGGGTCTGTATCCGAAGTGTTCAGAAGTGCCTTTTTTAACTGTGTTCATTTTGGTGGACGTTGTCTCCAAGTTGAAACAAATTGTTAGCCTGCATAACAGGCGCTAAATGAGCCAAGCGAGGCAAACGCGGCATTTTGTCCGAAGCGTCAGCGTACGTGACAAGCTCTCCTGACAGGAAACAAGAGTTGTCCTAGTATAGAGCCCTGTGGGATGAAACTGGTATGACTTCCAATGTAGTTCCATTGACGACCGTGAACTGATGTCTTTCACTTAGATAACTTTTTTTACCTAGTCTGGAAACGAACCAGAGATGCCAGAAGGTTGATGCAGTTTCATGACGAGGATTTCACGACTAACGCTACCGAAATCCGTTTTAAAATCAATGTATCCTCGTGCAACAATCTTGCCACCATCTTCCGCCTTCCTCTAAACTTCGGTTATACGTATTACCGGTAATTCGGTTGAATATCCAGGACGATACACCCATTGTCTATCGGAGGCAACGCTCTTCTGCTTGATTTAATTTTTATCAAGCTGTCGTTTGCCTCAGATTCAAGTATTTTGCTTTTGATGCTGAGTATAAAAGGGAAACAAGTCGTTAGGTTTCCGGGTGATTCGTAATCCTTCTTGTATGTAAGAGTAAGCCTAATCGTTTTCCAAATAGAGTATACAGTTTCACTAGCAATGCTGTATTGAAACTGAGAACTCCGGTTATTTAATGCCGGTGCAATCGCCTTGCCACAAGTATTAAGATCTTGGATGGATGTTTTGAGGCACCATTCGACGTTTTTTTTTACTTGGACAATAGAGAGTTTTAGATCCGAGTTTACCGCGAACCTCTAACCGCGGTTTGCGGTTACCCGTTTGCGGTTCGACGTTCAAACATAATTCGATTTAGATTGGCGGTGGATTAAATTACGGCAGCCATGATCAACAGCCATGAATGGCACTTGTTTTCAAGATCCAATAGGATTTATCAAATTTAGCATTTCGCCCGAATTTGTGCCTCTGTTAATGGATAAAGACTTGCTCCAAAAGATTTTTGTATCATCACGTGGGGTGAAACAAGAATTATACGCTAAAATCTTCCAGGTAAATGACATACGTGAAAACCTACCTCCCCACGTTGAAAACGCACGTCGTAAACCTCAAACGTGACGTGAAAGACTTGTCACGTGACCTCCAGCGGTTAGAGGTTTGCGGTAAACTCGGATCTAAAACTCTCTATTACCTATCTTACGCATCACTGAACTTTCGGAGGGAGAGAACACAGACAGTAGAGGAACCCCTAGCAATTATTAGGCTCTTTGGGACCATGTGGTTGACTGACAGGAGGCGGAAGTAGATTGTCCAGGTTTCAGTCCGATGGTAACAAAGTAAGTGTTCATTAACGTGCCTCATCTTCGTCCTGTAGTTCGAGAGCATGTATTGGATAAAGTACCGTCACTCCTCATTAAGGGTCCTATGTACTTTTGGGTTATATCAATTGCCCTGTTGACCTAATTCTAGTAGGAACTGGAATTTTTCTCATTTAGCTTCTGGGGAAAATGTGGGCCTTTGCACTTCGACTTGTCACGTCATTACGAGCCCAATATAGCTCGAACACATATCTCGGCAGTTTAACACAAGTCAGGAATTATAATCCTGCCCAAGGTGTCACGGAACCCTTGCCACCCTAACCGCTTGCTGTCAATTACAACTGAAAAGAAACTTAAAATACCAACAGGGCACATACCAAAAAACGGGCATCGTGCAGTATGATTTCTTTCTGAAAATTCATATACACTATTTTTTTTCCTATAACTGATATATTTTATAAGAATATCGAGTGAAATGTGCAAAATTTAAAGAATGTTTTAAGAATAAACCTGCGAGGCTGAGTTTTCGAAAAGGATGATTATTTTGAGTGATGAAAATCTAAAAAATATGTTTTTTAACTTGACCGTATCAAATTATTGCTTCCTCCCACGGCAAAACTACCCAACAAAACGAAGAAATCTCCATTGGTTACAGCCAAATGTTCAGTGCTATTGACAGTTCGATGAACGGTACATGAAATACATATCTATAGTATACAGCAGAAAAACATAAACAAACCGCGAAATAGCCTGTGCACAGATGTCCCCCATTTTTTTTTTCTGGGGGAGAGGGGACGTCTGTACACAGGCTAACCGCGAAACGGATATGATAAATTCTTTCTATTTCAATTCTAATTAACGAATAATACAAGAATAATATATTAATAATAATAAAAAAATGAACAAACCGCAAAAGGATATGATCAATTCTTTCTTTTTCAATTATAATTCAAGAATAATACAAGAATATTGCAGACTAAAATCGGCAGAAAAATAAGAACATTCAGCCTGGCTCGAAGAACCAACATTCTTATATTTAAAAAAAGTGTATGCATGCATGCAATACACTGTAGTGTATAGCAGAGTTCATGGGTTCGAATCCTGTTGAAGCATGTATTTTCCTTTCCTTCTTTTTCTTTTTCTTTGTTGTTTTTTTGTTTTTGTATTTTTGTTTTTTGTTTTTTTTTGTTTTTTTTTCTTTTCTTTTCTTTGACCTTCCTTTTTTTTTCAGGCCTTTCGGAGCCTTTCGTGTCTCAACGGTAAAGGACTGGTACCCATGCCCAGTTTTCCAAAGAATGCTGGGATAGTAAAACTGCTCATGCCCAGTGAAACCGGGAGACGGCCAAGATCCTCGATGCTTTCTAGTGCTGGAAATGCCTAGAAATTTGCCTTAAATTTTACTTGTTTTTGGGACTTTAACAAGAGCATAGAGATACGATAAACCATTTGTCCAATGTTCTTTGCTATTGTGGCCACATTTTGCGTTTTCCGGCCATTCCATCAGCGCAAATTTGACTCGACAGACAGAGCAAGATTAAATCAGGGAAGTTGCTATGTCTCGGCATGAGGGTAAGAAGTTAAGCTTACTTTCTTTAAAAAATAGAGATTTCCCTTTCGAGGTTAACTCAGTCCATAATATCTTGTGCTTATTTCAAGGCTTAAACTTACTCAACTGTATTTACTTTCGTCCAACGCTGGCAATTCTCATGTTTTGGCTGGTGTTGTTTTCAGTTCCGTTTCTTTACGTTTGTTAAGATGTAGGCTCAACTTGAAAGTGAATGCATTGATTGTAGGGAAAGTTCCCATAATAATATTTGTCTTACATCTTCCTGTTTAACGTATGGAAGATGTGTTGTCCTCCAGTAGAAATTTAAACAACTGATTATCGATGTCGATTTTAAAGTTTACGTTGATCCAGTCCTATAACTAGTCGTTGTACTTTTAGGAGTGAGTTAGAACCAACATACATTTACGTGAACCATAGCCACACAATTCTTATATAATTGGATTACAAGCAGTGACTTAAAGTTCTGACTACTGACTAATTTTGGGATCTCTTTAACTGTAATTGGGACAACAAACTGCATGCAAATCATCCCATTTATTAAATTAATTAAAATACACTGTACAACTTTGATTCACTGATTTGTGCTGCAGTTTGTTTATGATGCCCTGGGGCTTACTACCTTTGTTGCATAGACATTGCATTCGAGCATGGCTTTCTTTGAAATAAGGGAGAGGTTTAGTTACTCAGGTTAGGGTTATGTTCAGCGTAGCAAGGACAGGAAGGTGCAAATTACGCATCTTTACAGAATTTGGTGAAAAGTGAAAAGTTTGTTGTTGAAGAGTGTCAAACATTCTTTCGATGAGTCTTGATAAAGTACACTGAAAAATAGTGTAGTTGCTGGAAGTGAGAAATAGCTGGTGACCTGAAACAATTTGCTCTGAAAAGTGAAAGCTGTCGTCCACGTTGGTATTGGTTTGTCTGCTAGTACCCGTGTAGATTAAGCCACCACTTATTTCCAGTAGTCATACTTATGATATTTTCTGATGGTGCAATTTCACACAACTGTTAATCGCAGAATTCATAAGAATTCTCATTCATTAAAACAATTGCTTGATCTGGACATTAAATTTTCGGGAATTATTTTTGTTCTCTCTTTTTTTGACAAATATCAGACAAAACGTTTTGTCACCTTGCTAAAACTTATCTCAGGTAAATTTATAGCCACAAAACATGAATATTAGACTAAAGGAAAGATTGTGCAAAAGATGGTTTTATTGCACTATTAAGCATGGATTGAAAAAACACATCTTTTATAAACAGAACAATGATATATATTTCTCTTTCCAGTGATTAAAAACAGTGCCTTATTAAAGCCTAACTCATTTGCTTGCTAAAGTTTGGGTCATTGAACATATGATAGCATCTCTGAGGAATAAAATTATTAAAGAAAGCTTATACTGTACTGAAAACTGTTTGGATGCTTAAAAAATTTCTGATGATTTTATTTTTAGACAATTAGTTTTTTTTGTCTGAAATCTAAATTGTCCATTTTTTTTTCGGCAGATTATGTCATTACATTTTGCTTTTAACAGAACTGAAATGTTTTTGCTCTTTGCTGAATATCCTCTAAAGAAATTGCATAGTTCCCCATAATACACCTTTTTCCATAAAGTGTCACCTCTTAAAAAAAGTCTGCCTGAATAGTCAATAGTTTTTTGACACCATCAGAAAGCCTGTTAATTTAAACTAAAGGTATTATAAATTTTTATGAGATGAATGAGGATCATTATTTGCACTGTCTTCAGTAGGGGGATAAAATTTCAAAACATTGCATTTCAATAACAGCGCTATAAAAATGAGCATATTCCTTCCTACACAGCACTTAAAGTCACACAATTTTAAATGAAAACCACACAAGCCTTTGCTTCATGTGTTTGTCTGTATGTAAAGGATTACAAAATGCACCAACCTTGCCCAATCAAAAAAACGTTGCATTCCTTAGTGTGGGACAATGTAAGTACACATACTGTTCATGTTTTGAGTTAAAATACCCTGAGGGTTTGAAATAAGGATATGAACATACATTACCGCTGGCTTTTCCACAGACCAACTTGTGTTGTGCGAAGCTAATAAATGCACAAGATCATTACACCCTGTGCCTCTATGTTGTGATATGTATTCATTGGGCATACACTGTACAATGTATTTGTGAAGGTTCTCATTACGTTTTAAAGATGGCAGCGTGATAATAGAGTGCTGTAGGTAATTTCAGGCTTTCATTCCCTCACTTTGCCCTTTCTCTTCCAGAAGAAAACAACTCAAAACTCTAAGTAGCTGGCTTTTTAGCCAGTTGCCGGCACATGAGAACCCTGGTAGTGTTTTACTGTTATTCATTAAATGAAAAGGGACTTTGCACAGCACTAATTGTCATTTGTATTGAGCGTTTTCTTTTTGTTTTCATTCAATATACAGGTGTTAGCTGTGACTCATGTAGTATAGGAAATTTCCGTGGTAAACGATTTAAATGTTTGATATGCTATGACTATGATCTCTGTTCGACATGCTATGAAAATGGGGCCACAACGACAAGACACACAGCAGATCATCCTATGCAGTGTATTCTAACCAGAACTGATTTTGGTAAGTGTTGCATCAGCAAGCTCTACTCAGAATGAGTTGTTTAATTAGCTTAAACAATGGAAAAGTGACTCTAACATGGACCTTAAGATGCCATGACAGTGACGGCAATGAGAATGTCAAAAAAGCAATTAGTTGAATAGGCAAAACAACAACTCTGCACATGCATCATACTTTTTCATCCATTTCTTTGCAGTCACTGCTCGATCATGACTTGAAAATGCCTAATTTCACGTTTTATGGAGGAGGTAAACAATCAATGGCAAAATTTTGTTTCTCTTTCTGAACTTGAATATAGTTCTAAGGAATTCGTCTCAAAAAGAGTTCGCTTGCATTTGACGAGGAATCTTAGTTGGAGTAATTATGACAGCGATTGAAAGAACGCAAATTCTCTTTTTAAACAACGTTTTCGTGGCCATCGGCGTCGTGGTATCTTAAGCTCCCTGATAGCAGGTTTCATCTCAAAGGCCAATGAAAATAGAGGTTTCTGAGAGGTTGGCTGCTCCGCCACTTATTAGAAGACATTTGATAACTCACTAAAACCTGAATTATCCTCACTAGCATGGACTGCAGTAAATTAACAGCTTACACCAACAACAAAAACGACAACTTTATTATTTATCGAGTTGTGTTTACAATTAGCTAAAATCAATATCCTAAATTAGATATTAAACCTTTCATTATTGCCACGACCCACAAATATATAAAATATTTATATATTTCACCAGGGTAGGAAACTTTCTTTTCAATTAACTTGTCCCTTTGTAATGTGTATTTTTCTTGTCCAGACTACAAAACTACTTGTCCCACAAAACTGTCAAAAGCAATTCAGGGTTTAAAACATTCTCTTTTATTTCAGCCATGTCCTGGTTTAGTGAAAAGCTAAATAGTCAATAAATAACAATTATTCACCGAAGTGGAGGTGGCTAGTATTGGCCACCGACACTGAGGTGAATAATTGTTTTAGTATATGCTAAAACAGTGAGATAATAAGCCTTAATTCGTTTATTTACAACTTTGGCGCGCAAATTAAACAAACATGCGCGCAGCTCAAAGTAGTCACATGACACATCTGATGATGAAATGTTCATAATTTTGTGTTTAAGACTTTACAACCGTAAATGAAAGATCAAGCTATGCGAAAGGAAAAGTCCTGGCTTTACGCCATCTTTGTAGATTGTTCTTTTCGTTGTCTGTTACAAGTTTTATTTGCTGCTGCTTCCTCCAAAGCTCACCTTAAAGTTGAGATTACAGTTATGGAACGTGGCTCCGGGAATGAAGCCATGGACAAGATTCTGTGATCCATCTTGAATGGACTGGAAGGAATAATTTGCAGTGCTCGTAGCTACTGATTGCGGCTGGCTCGATGACGACGCAACGGTTTTCTGAGGGACTGTAACAGCCTTGTCATCGCCACCAGCTGGATCGAAGAATTCACTTAGCTCGTTTGACATTCTTTTAAACTGCTCGAATGTCGGCGTATCACAATAGCTCTTGATGCTTTCTTCACTTTGGTGGCCAGTTATTGCCCTGATGTACCGACTCTCGATGTTTACAGCTGACAAAACCATCACGGTGGTCGCTCTGATCGAGTGGTTTGTTAGATGTGGCTTTATTCCAGCTTTTGATGTCATTCTTCGTAGCATATTTTCAAGTGTGTTGTGGCCAAGTGGACTCGAGCAGTACCACACAAGATCCGTTGCTGGGTTAAACGCTTTGCACGAGCTTCTTGATTTCTGGAATAAACTGCTGCATTTGGGACTCAGATGTGACAGGTATTTCTCAATGAGTTTCACTGGGCAGCGTTTTGAGCCTGGTCTTTCAAATATTTTTCCGTTTGACTCATCTTCTTTATCATCTAGGCCACCTTGATGGTTTTAAGTCGCCAACCGCGCTCTTTGTTTATTTCCAGATATTTTTCACCATTTGGCGCTTCCCTTGAGATAAGCATGTGTTTCTTAAGCAGGTGCTGGTTTTCTCGACCTCTCTTTCCGAGGAATAAACTGATGAAGAGCCAGGCCGTCTGCTGTACTTTGTGTGGTTGGAGAGAATCGATGTCAACAAGCTCGCCTTCTTCGTAAAGTTTCTCAACAATTTCCTTTGTTAGGGCTTGTTTGTGCACTGTCGGAGCTATTTGGCCACTTTTGCTCAGAGTTTTCAGAAAATTGCTGAGGAATTTATTGGCTTCATTAAAATGACTGTTGCCAACAATGGAAAATGGCTTTGAAAACGGAGGACCTTTTAAGTGACGATCTAACGCGGCTCGGATTGCGATAAGCGACTTTTTGTTGTAGTAACTGCCGTCACGTTTTCGTGCGGACAAGTAAAATTTTTGGAGGCATTTGTTAAGCTGAATTGGTGACATCTCCTCAAAGAGAGTTTTGAACTCTTCTTGCATCTGAAACCATTCTGTAAAAAAAGTAAGCTTATTTATAAACATGTCAGCTAACATTAAGTAACGAAAGACATAATTTGCATTTGTAAACAAAAACTTTTTCACTGGTTTCATCGATAAAATTCAGGTTAAACAGACAAAGCTTTACCTGTGAAAACTGCTAGACCGAATTTAGTCGCTTTTTTAGTGTTGTCTGGTATGGCCTCTTCATTTATTTTCGAAATTTCGTCGCTAGTTACCGTGGCAAACCGAGACTGAGCCATTTTTGTCGTACATGTAACTTACAAGAGTTTGGCGCCACTCGGCTGGAGGCGAATCAGTGAATAGTGCAGGATATTCCGAGATTGAGCAGCCAATCAGAGCGCGCGAAAAACACTATCCACTGTTTTAGCATATACTAAAAACATTTAACCCAACAAATTGAATAAAAGTTTATTCTTTTGATAAATGTACATCTGTGGAGTAGCGCATTTTGTTTGTTTCTTGTTCCCTGCTAGAGGCATCGGGCCACCCCAACTATAGCTGGGGAAACTGCTGACCAGCATTGCTTCGAGGTTAACTTTGCCTAAATTACATTTAGCCACATTTAAACAGTTTTGATTGAGACAATGCCGATACACTCCACTAACTGCTCTAGCAAACAAGCGATTCAGGTCGCTGATCATTGCTGACAAGCATGTGTGATTGATGTGCATGCAATTATGCTGTACAGCGGGGACTGCATGGAAATCAATGGCGACGCTCCACACAAAGAAATCAATCACACACAACTTAAACAAAAGAAAGTTTATATTCAAGGCACTTAGTTATAAAATACAGGACCAAATAATAATATTTTTTATCCAAAGTCAGGCAACGTCAGAGCTCTACAACTTACTTGCCCAAGCGGACAACTTGAATCATCTTTTTCCTTGTCCAAATGGAAAAGTTACCCATCTCGGACGTTCAGACGAGCCAAGTTGCCTACCCTGTTTACTTTTTTTTCAATTTATAACAGGCCTAGAATCAGTTATAAGACAATGTGTCTATAAAGCACGTGAATAAATGATTAATTAAATGAATATAAAATACAAGAAAATAGTAACAGTTTACTAGTTGAAGCACACACTTATTTAACTAGGTTAATTACCAGGTAGTAATTATGACAGGAAGATATGATTATGGACTATGCAGTCTTTGAACAAGAGTTGCTAATTGTTAAATTGAGGTGCCCACAAAATAAAAGGCTTACATATACTTTCATCAATGATATATACTAAGTCTTCTACTTAGATGACACTACATGTACAGTACCGCTCAAAAGTGAGTTACCACCCTCTCACGAGACGCGAATCACAACGCGTGCCACGTGACACGTCGCATGCTACGTGATTCTCGTCACGTGCTATGCGATTCCTGTAGCGCACTACACGATTCTCTTAGCGCGCGATGGCCTAAAAACTGTAAGTATCATTGCCGAAATTCTTGAGCGATTTCAAGAATCAGTGGTAAAGTTTTACCGTGACTAACACACGAACAGATTTTAACCTCTAAAATCTTTCCACATGACCTGATCCATGTGGCATCTCTTATTTCTTGGGTATTGTCTAGTCCAGTGTCAGCCTGATAGTTCTTGGTCTACTTTGATTTGGGTGACCATACCATTAATACAACCAGTCTATCATTAATTTTAGGTTTGACAACATGGATATCTTTCGCATATGTTATGGATATGAGCTGCAAAGAGCTACATGTACTTGGAATTAAGGAAGATTTGCATGCAAAAGATTATTATTTTTATATCTACATGTAGATCTACAGATGCATGTACTTATTGTTCTGTTTGTTTTTTTGCTTTCTCCACGTAATCATTTTTCTTTTTTTTGCCCAAAATTGGCCCACCTTGTGACAATAATGATCCACTGCCTTCTTTTGTAAGTTGTGATACCACTTAAGTAATTGTGCAGTTGTTAGAAAATAACAGTTGTCAAAAATAACAATTGTGGTTTGTTCAACAGAACTTTATTACGGAGGTGAAGCATTTACAGCAGACCAGCCTCAAGCTTTTACTTGCCCCTATTGTGGAAAAATGGGGTTTACAGAATCAGCATTGCAGGAACATGTAACATCGGAACACAGTGATGCCTCCATTGAAGTTGTGAGTATTTTATGAAGTTCAAGAGTAAAATTTATCTCTGTATTTTTAAGGAATGTACAATTTTATGCAGTTTGGAAAGAAAGTACAGGGTGCTGGAAAGTAATATAGAGGTACATGATTATACTGGGTCCAAGTCACCCTCTGTTCTGGTCTGTAACTGATTTTGTCCCTTGAAGTCCCAGGCTCGACACCTAAGCTGCACTCTGAAATAACCAACTGGTTCATCTCCTGCGAGGTGTCACTGTTAACACTTCCACCTCTCAGTCATAGTGCTTGTACAGTGATTTTGTCACATATAATTATGGTGAGTACTGGGACTCATATTGTGAAAAATCATGAGTCCCAGTGCAGAACCATTGAGTCCCAGTTCAAAAAACAACCAAGTCCTAAAATAATTGAAAATGCTCGGGCCATGTAACTAGACAGTACTGTTAATCTGAAGACAGACTCCAAGACTCTTTTTTACCGTTTACTGAAATTGAAACCTAGTTCTTCTCTTTAAAGCACAAAAAAAACTGAAATAAATATTCATTGTTAAACAACAGTCACAATGACAGGCACAGAAATCACACAAACATGATATATTGTCAGGGTTTTCAACAGTTTTTTAAAGTAGTGGACTGACATATTTCTGAAAGCACTGGATGCATTTTTTGTGTGTGTGCTTAAAGGCACCTTTCGAGTGCTGAAGACTGGAGCTACCAAGGGGGGTCTGGGGGCATGCTCCCCCAGGAAATTTTTAAAATAAAACACTTAGAAATGCTGCTTCCAGCATTTCTGGAACCCAAGAATCAGTTTTCCAGGCAAGGCTGGAGTTCACTCAAATTCTAAGAAATGATGAGTTACCATTATTATTATTATAAAGCAAATCAGCATTTAAATTTAACATGTATTGTACCACGACATTTTTCTAAGACTTGAAAAATCCATATTCTGTGAGGTGCATTTTGCTTCTCTCTAATGAGCTGAAGAACTCCAAATTCAAAAGATTTAGATCCGGTGTGTTTTTTTTGTCTTGAAATGCTGTTTGTCAATTCTGTCTATTTCAAACTCCTTTAAAAGTCATATTTTGATCGTTAATAGGGGAAATATAAGCTTAACCTTGTAAGTAGTGACCACATTAAAACTGGTCAAGTAACACAACCATAGTAAAATAAATTAACCATTTCAATGACTGCTTTGCAACTTGTTCCCCCTTGCTTGCATGGGTTGCTTCTGTGTCAATCTGTCTGTATCATTTTTCACTAAACTTTGTAGAATGACAATACACGTGCATTGCAAATAACAGAAAGCCCCTTGCAGAGTAAGGAAGAGTATCAAAATCTATTTATGAATACATCAAGAATCATTTTGTTAAGCTTATTTATCCAAAGAGGAAAGAATAATTCATAAAACCACCATAGCTTGTTAATCTGATCACAAAGCTGAGATTAATAGAAAGATACCCAATCACCCAAGTTTACCGCCAGTAAAACCCTGTTTTAAATAAACAAATCATTGAAAGTTGAGTCATGCTCAAACTTGCAGTTTCACTGCCCTTGCCCACCCTGGCTTGTTTGCACCCGCGATCAATACTGCCATGCTACTTCTATGCGCTAAGATCTACAATTATGTAGGTGGTTTATGTCCTTGTGAAAAGAGTCTCAGGTCTGTATGAAGCGGCCATGCAATAATACAAACATTTTAATTGTACCATACACTGTTTCGCATACACATGAAGTGTCACAACAGTGAAGTTTTGATAATCTTAACTTTAATTGCCTTGTTAGAGAGGGGGTGCTTGCATGTAACAAAGTGTTTAAAATTTTAATTCCGAAACAAACTCATTTTTAGTACTTTAAGTTGTGATCCTATTACTTGTACCCCAGGATTTGGGGAGCCTTACCATACAAACAAATAACATCATCTGGGTTTTAAATTACAGAATCCAAGAATGAAAGAATTTTTGTAGATATCATCTTTTCATTATTTTACCTGTGAGCTCAGACATAATTACAGGGACACCTGACCATTGGCTGACCCTTTGGATACTTCTGCAAATTTCCCCACTTCACCAAGAAGGGTGTTACAAGGGTGTTACTAGGGCATCAAGGCAACCATACACTGTAGCTAGAGACTGAGGCTAACTGTAACCCATCAAACAAATGCAGTGAGTTCAGGGTTACAGTGTAGAGGTTGACTACTCTGCAGCGGGATACATTGTATTTCTGTACTCTTTAAACAGGAGTGTGATTTAACTAGAGTGGAACCTCTATTCAGGGGACACCCTCGAGACCGAGGCAAGTGTCCCCTGAATAGAGATGTCCCCTGAATAGAGTTTACCCCGAGTGGAGGTGTCCCCTGAATAGAGGTGTCTCCTGAATGGAAGTGTCCCCTGAATAGAGTTGTCCCATGAATGGAGGTGTCCCCTGAATAGAGGTGTCCCCCAAATGGAGGTGTCCCCTGAATAGAGGTGTCCCCTGAATGGAGGTTGGGCTGAGGTTTGTTAATTATTAATGAACAAATAAAATATTTTTATTAGAGCTAAAAAAGACAACTGCTCTTGCAGGCCACGGATTCTGCTGCAATCATTATTTAAGCAGCGAAAAAATGACTGTATAGAAAATCATGATTAACTTATCTCTGCAATGTTGTGTGTTGAATTCCCACAAGTGGAGTACTGTACATCTATTTAAGTGTGTTAATTCATGTTTTGAAAGCTCTCGCCATTGTGACTAGCGAACACTTAAGAACTTATCAATATTTGTGGTCAGTCACTTTTTGATTGCTTCATGTAAGGTGTACCCTGAATGGAGGTTAAACCAAGGTTTTGGGACCCAGAAAAAGCAAATAAGTTAATTAATGATAAGAATAGTTAATTTCATAAACACGCTCTGCTGGATTACAAATCCATTCATGTGTTCAAAAAACTGGACGCTCAGTTGTTGCCTTGTGTTCATATGTAGGTTTGTCCAGTGTGCGCAGCCCTACCAGGTGGAGACCCAAATCATGTGACAGATGACTTTGCTGCTCATTTGACGTTAGAGCACAGGGCACCCAGTAGAGATATATTAATATCCTTTACATTGTTAATAACGTGGTGTACGCAGTCGTTTTTTATCGCTGTATTAGAGCATTTAAAACAGACGTAAGCAAGTATGTTTCAATGATCATCACCGCCACGTATTTACATGTACACAAGCATTATTTTTTTACAGAAGCATGGGATTATATGCTTCTGTTTTTTAAAAAATCATGGATCTTCAAGTGAAGCGTGGTAATAGAAAATCCCATCCATAAACATGTAACATCTAATTTTAACCCTGTGGGAGAAGGACCCACATCAAAGTATATACAAATCAACTGGAAAGTCTAATAAGGGTATAGAAAATGAGTTGCCTCAAACAATATTGTACCTCATATTTTGTAAACTTCCCAAACGAAAGGGCGCGAACTATTTGACTTTCCAACCATTTTTTTAGGTTTTCCCATGTAAATGGTAAGAACCCTGAATTCTTGACATGGTCCTTTGGGTTTTTTCAGGGATAATTTACGATACCTGGTTCGGGGGAATTTACCAGAGTGCATGTTGTGCAGAAGTGGTTAGCGCAATTAGGTCATATTTTTTTCTTTCTTAGCACAGTCCTGCGCAGTAGAAATAGGCTGTACCAAGGGAACTCATACTTGCAAGGTGCTTTCCCAAATCGTTTGATCTGTGTATATTGCATTGTTCTTTAACTGACTTACTACGATGAACCAGGAGCGGCGCGGCATGTGAGACGTTTATTTCATCCGGCAGTTGGAGGAAGTCGGCCCAGACCTCCGCGTCCACGTGCAGCGAATATGCATTTCGGAGGATCTGGAGGTAGTGGTCTTGGGTCTTCTTCATCCTCCTCCTCCGCGTCTGGCCGTGAGAGCATGGACCCTATAGCGGAGCTTCTGTCCCAACTGTCGGGTGTGCGTCGAGCAGCACAGCAATCCCAGCCCCCCATGCAGTCGCAGCTTCAATTGCTGCAACAGCAGTTGCAACTGGAAAGACAGCAAGTGCAACAGACAAGGGAACGACTGGAAAGACTTCCAGCACGGCGGCCGATGGCAGCTGCAGCAGCAGCAGCGGCAGCAGCTAGCGGTAGTGTACCAACCACATCAACAGCTAGTGCTCAAGAAAGCAGCAGCTCGGCCTCCTCGTCTTTTCTCCTTGCAAGGTTGGTACATATAAAACCAGAACACTTTAAACATCAACTGACTTCATGAGATGAACGAGTTAGGTTTTACGTCGTAAGGCAAACGTAGCCTTGGCGTATTAAACCACCATAACAAGTCTGTTGGTCGATGCAAGTAGATGCTTTCCTCGGCGGCCTTTTTAATTTAAGTTGTCGTACCTTATGAGATTGACTTTCATACATAGGTCGTTATTTTGAGGGGCAAGAGGTGCTTGGCCTACTTGCTATGAAATTACACAATTAATATTAAAATAAGTGAGGCCACACGAAAAATTTTTTGGTTACCTAAAATTCGTTTGGTTTGTTCTAATAAAGCAAAAATTCGACCCAGAAGAGTTTTGTTCAGTGTGCTAAATTTATTTATTACTTTATTACAGATGCACTTTCGTGTCTATAGAGAAATTTGGCGTATAATAAAGTTAAAAAGACTAGGGGAAAACCTCGTGTTGTATTAAAATAACCAAATACACGCCCCTTTCATAAACTCGGTAGGCGAATTCCTATTTTTACTCTTATTTGTTTAAGGGCTAATGAACCCTCGCTCTCAGAGTCCGAACAAGAAATCCTCGAGCGCGAACGTGCGGACAGAAGTCTGTTTGTACAGGATCTTATATTATCCACACTCGGATCAGCCGCATTTAGGCGAAGACCACGCCCAATCCCCGACTCGACAGGACCTTCGGAGGAGTTTGAAAGCCTAACGATACAGGATAGCACGGCAAATGATGCCGCACGTGGGGCGGCAGAATCACAAGACTCAAACGTTGTCGAACAGGACGTTACTGTTGAAGATATGGAGTTTATATCATTGGAAACAGAAGAAGACAAAGATTCCTAGCGTATGCAGGATCTTCACGTAGACAAATTAAATTTTAGCCTCTGTGTAACCCGCCCAGAACTGGTTTTGCAGTGACTTTAACGCCATCCGTTCACTTGCCGTCGTTTTAGATCGTTGTGCCCGTGCGCGATCTTGTGAAAAGGATGGTACTATAGGGCAGGAAAGTACATCCTGTTGTTGTTTTCAGAAAGGACCATCTTATAAATGTGTTGACCTGATATTGTCATTAAAACACCGGCACGCTTGTCAGTTCGCCCAAGCAAAATTTCCCAATTGTCAACTTCGCCCAAATTGATTTAGAATCGCCCATACGTAAATATAGGTGTGAAAAGTAGCTCTAAACACAAACTAACATAAAAATAAATACGTGGCTGTATATACCGTGCGGTTTTCCGATGTGAGCGAGTGGACCTCAATTTGGGCCAATTTGACTTGGGTGAATTTGCTTTGAGCAAATTGATTGGCATCCAGGCCTAGAATCAATTTATCCGTGACGAAATGCCGCGCCATGAAAGAGAATAACCATAATAGTGCGCATTTTGTAGTTGGAGAGATATTAAAGTAGGTAGGGTTGGAGAAATAAATTTTAATGAACTACTTATGCCTAACTACTTCACCTATTTAGCTTTTGAGGCGCGCGGTCGTTGTAGATATCCAGTCGTTTCTGGTTCAAATCCCATCAGGATAGGGGTAACACAGTAGAGACCTTTAGATTCTAAGACGAGTACGAGTACGAGATTTTCTCAGTGCTAATAGGTAGCGCTCGCGCGTGAACCAGCGTCATTTTGGCGGGAAAATGTGGTAGCCGTCGGTGGGGAAAACAAGTTATCAAATGTAATAAGTTTTATCATTTTGCAATCGGGAGAGGGTGTAACCTCCTTCACTAAAGGTAACAGTGCTAACTTTTCTAGTGAAAAATCGTAAAATGAAGCTTTCCGGGGAGTCTATATTTGAGAATACGCGAAAAAACTTTAAGTCAAATCTCGTACTCGTAGTCGTCCTCGTGCTTGAATCTTAAGATCTCTAATTACTCTACATCGTAGCCCATCAGTGAAAAACACGAACCTTGGTGGTTAAAGTCGATCGGTTACAGGAGATCACATAAGTTCCTACCTCGTAAGGAATGCACTCTAGTATGGAGTATAGACTGTAAACTGTCCTATAATGCTCGTTGTAAAAGATAAACCCTGTGATTGACTCTCTTCCAACCCAGGGAGATACATGTAGTTTTAGGACCCCCTCGGCCTTCTTCATGCTACTATATGAGCATGTTATTTTCAATCTGCCATTTAACTGGAAATCTGCGACAAAAAGGGCCAAGTGCGTAGCGAAAAGTTCGAGCGCATGCAAGAGAACGCTTTCTTCACATAAAATTTGCCCTTACGGTCCGCGTTCGAGAATCGCTGGCGAGGTACGATGTCTCAGCAGCTAATAGCTATACAAGTAGGCAAAAGTGAGTGGATTAGTCTCTAAAACACAAAAAAAAACATAAAACACAAAAATTTGTTCTTATGGTCCGCGTTCGAAAATCGCTGGCAAGGTACGATGTCTCAGCAGCTAATAGCTATACAAGGACGCATAAGTGAGTGCATTAGACTCTAGTTTACGTTACCCTTATTAGAAGGGTCTGCTCTTTGTCACATAGCCCGCGAGCAAGCTCTCCATTTGGGGGATATCGTGAAAAGTGGACGCGCGTCTGGCCTCGTTCGCCCAAATGGGAAAGCTTGCACGCAGGCTATTTTTCACAAGGTGACTGCCCCCCCTAACCCTAACCCTAACCCTAACCCTAACCCCCCCTCCCGAGTACAACTTGTTTTTTTAAAGAAATTATTGAAATCTTATTCACATCTGCCTCTCTCTCCTAAGTTGTTTTTCTACTCAGCAGTTGGTCCCGAATCTTATTCAGATTTTTGCTCATAGTCCGGCGGCTTAGCTAGAAAATCATGCGATTTTTGATACAAGCGCTAAACTTTGTAGGATTATTTACATTCCCAGGCTGATGATTTCCTGACATAGTGCCAAGCGTTATTTTTCAATTTCAGCTACTTAGCAGTGAATGAAATTTTCACACCCGAGAACCCCGCGAAGTTATTTTTCTTGCTCTTTTTCTAGATTTAAAGTGGCCATGACGAATTTTTCCTATTTTCTCATCCGAATCTACAATGACGTTTCCCGAAAAAAATTTTTGATTCCGACCAAAAGCGATTTTTTTAATGATTTTTTCAAGTCTTCGAAATTTGCTGCCATTTTGTTCCACCATTCGCATTAGTCTCCTCTCGCCGTGAACTCTTATTCCTCTCAAGCCAAGTGCCTTTTGGTTGTATCTTTCTCGATCGTGAAAAATGTACCTTTGAAAATGCGTAAGAGATGTGTCGCAGCACGTTGCAAAAGGTAGCGGACTCTAAGAAGAATATTTCGATGCATAAGATTCCATTCTTTGGCGAGGAATGCCCAATAAAGAAGAAAAGAAGAAAGAGGTGGATCAATTCCGAGTTGGAGAGGAGAAAGATGTGGGTACCGGGGAAGTCGTTTTATTTCAAAATACATGTACAGGTACAAAAATATACACATGTTTAATTTTGGATGCGAATTGTTATTGTTATTTTCCTCTCTTCATATATAAATGCAGGCCATATTTTGGAATTTATGTTCACATGCCTTTTCTCTCTTTTCTCTTGGTTGAGTTGGTTCGGATGGTAAGAGTTTGTGCTATCTCATTCTAAATATGCAGGCGACTCGGTTTAGCTATATAAAAACTATTCTAGTCTCATAACAGAGAAAACCGTCGGTTTAAAAAAATTAAGTAAGAAATAGTTTGATTTGAAGACGAAGGAAACAGGTCGCTACCTCAAGCAACTGACTGGTTTCAATGTGTTATTTGCCAGAAGGAAACAACTGAAAATCCTCAGTGTCCTGTTAACTGGAAATGGCACTACTCTTGCATGTGCTGGATACCTTATTTTTAAACAAGACTTAACTTCATTTTTATGAGACGGGAAAATTAAATTTAGCAGTTGACTGCAGGGCAGAAAGAATTCAGCATCCACATTATCAAGTCGTTTCCTATGTGGCAAAAATCTCGTCGCGATGCGTTCAACAGGACGGTGAAACCGGATTGCATGATGCCATAAAAAAAAAATTCCCTGTAACTAATCCACAGCATCAAACGTACACTGTCAAGAAAGCGTCTGTTTGCACGGAGGAGAAGCAGACATTAAAATGATAGCCCATGTAGCTGATGCAGTAGAGAATGTTCACTAGTCAACCATGACTCGAAATTAAGCGTTTTTTTTTTCTACTATCTTGGATCCTGACACAGGCTTATTTATACCTGAAGGAATTTTGAGCGTACTATGGAACAGGAAATATCCTACCCACACTCTTTCCAGTTAAAAGCCTTTGGTCCATCTAACTCGACATTTCCTCTTGTGTTCCATGCCTCAACAGTGTGTGATACAGCTTCCTTCTCCGCTGGTCATAGAATTTCCATTAAAAGGAAGAATTGTTAATGAAGAAAAATAAGAGTCATAGGTAGAGCTGCAGATAGTGCGCACCACCTGCATTTCTTGCGAATTTTGAGGGAGGATTGGGGCGAGTTTCAAAGCGGCATTTACGTGGAAGGTGGAAGAAAGCATTCAAAAATTCGATATTATGGAATTTACATCGAGGTAAAGCAATTAGGACACAATGTGATAAAGATGAAGCTTAAATAGGAGGAAGTTTAACTCAGCAACACGCATACCGCTTACGTAAGGCACATTTCCAACAATTTGACACTTCGGAGCCAGACGTTGCCCTTCGATTGAGGTCATTTTAGTCATGTTTCTGCAGAGGCTCTTTTTCACGGCGGCCATCTTGTTATGCGCAGTGAGGGATGCATAGTGGCAAAACTAGAGAATCACCATAAGTTTAGTAAGTAACGAAAATATGAAATCAATTAGGTAGCAAAGTTATGTGCAAAGATATTAGTTGTATTACATATAATATCAAACAAACTGAAGGCACATTAATTTATTCAGTCGTCGTAGTTTTAGTTTTCCTTTGCTTACCGTCGCCATAGCAACGCACAGTTAAGGTCAAATGGCGTGTTATAAACAAGATGTACGTGGTAAACAGGTTGGCTGACTGAGTGAAATCATGAAATCAGGACAAATAATTTAATGAATTGAATTCATTAATTTTTTATGAATTTTAATAAATTGTGGTTTCTATGGAAACCGACCTACTACCCGCTTGGCACTATATCTGAAAATGCTTGTATTGGTGACTACTATCAGTGTGTCAAATTTCATGCTTGTATCTAAAAATGCACAATTCACTTAAAATTTCTAGCTAAGCCGCCGGACTATCAGTGATTTCGGTCTTTTCTTAGGGTTAACGAGTTCAGTGGCACAGGTACTTGCTTTTCTTTCTTTTGAATGGTTAAATCATTCCCTCACGTACACCTAATTGCAATGACGTTGTCAGATAAAAATGTAAAAGCGAAAAGATGTAAATGTAAAAAGCCAAATAGGAATTAATTTTACTTACAAATAAACCACTTAAGGGTGCATGCCTTTGCAACATAATCGTACAGCCGTCTCTTTTACTTTTGTTTTTTTACGCCTCAACGACGGCTATGCTGCGAGCAAATACAGCCTATAGTGGTTTCATGAATTAGTAAGCCTAAGCGAAGAGTTCTGGTTTTGCTTTTCTGCCTCACAAAAGGAGAGTGTACAGGGAATTTGAACATGCCCTCGCTCTTTCTAAATATGGACCGGCCCCTTTAAAGTCGTTGCCTTGTTTTCTATTGCCTCAAGTGAAGATGGAACAAGCTGAGGAAACTTAAGGATTACATTTTTAGATTGACTCTTTTTATGCTCCAGAAAATCCACATCTCGGTGAGTTCTCTTTAACGTCTACAATACGTCTTCTTTTGATAAAATTTCCTGTTGATGAAAACACATTTCAGCAAAGGAAGTACTAATAAAAATAAGGGATCTCCGCTTTTAAATTTTCCTGTGTAAAGGTTCGACCATATAACGAGACTGCATGGCGGATGAGTTAGATGAATTAAACAAACTTGCATCCAGATGCCTTCTTTATTGACACTAAGAATAGCTATAAACGTATAACAGTCTACTTCTTGCGACCATAAAAGCTTCAGTGAAGCACCTGCCTCGAGTTAATTCCTTAATTTTAACCAGTCGCGTGATAACAGTTTACACAACAAGTCAATTTGCACTCGGTGTGAGATAAGTGATTATGTATTTGCATCCATTCCCAAATAAGTATGCTCTCATTATGTCAGCGGTAAGAAAAGAACATATCTAGAGCTTCTGAAATAAATTAACCAAGCTGTTTAAAAAGCAAATTGGCCTCTCTTTTGGGGGATTATTGTACATATTTACCGTTAATTTTGCTTTTGCTCAGGAAGATGCTTCCATTTGTTTTGTTGTTTGTGACAACTATGGCCTGCTCCATTTTTTCGCAAGACTCGATCAGGTTTGTAGATCGTATGCTGGAACAGTACAATGGCCCACAGACCCCAAGCCAGAATAATACTCGTGATGAGTTACCCAACTGTCCAACGGAGCTTAACGCATCATGGTTGTTAAGACCACCATTCACGACAAATTTCAGTGAAAG